AATACACCATCGGACAGATACACCTACACTTCAATTCGAGCTGTGGCGGATGTGATGTTTAAATAAATCAATGACTTCTTAGTATTGATGACTGTTGTAATTTTGAATTCCAAATACAATACATTCGTTCGAGTTCATCTGATACTTCTTGATTAAATTGCGTTATTCCTGGGATTACTAGTTCATACTACAATTCAAATACTTCTAATTATCATAGGTATATAGGCGGTTAATTAATTGCCAGTCTCGATTTGCAATCACATGAAGAGCACGTGAGAGCAGCGTCAAAACGGCTGGATGAAAATGGAATGAACATACATCACAGCAAGCGTGTTTTCGGTGCTCGAACTCTAGAATTTCTCGACATACAATAAGCCCAGAAGGGGTTACACTGATCATAAAAGAAGTGGATACCGTCAGATAATACATAGTTCTCTAACACAACTTAGAAGTTTTCTAGGTCTAATTAACTTTTATCGAATATTCATACCCGGTTGTGCATGATTAATAAAACCTTTGACAGATTCCCTTAAAAGAAAACCAATAAGATTCAACCTGACTTTTGAGGCTATTGAAGCTATTAAACTGCTACATGATAAACTGACTCAAGCATCTACGTTGATGTATCTGAATTCCCCTTCCCCACTTGCTTTGGTGCTGAATGCTATGGACAAATCAGTAGGCGGCACCCTTAACCAACTGGTTAAAAATGCCTGAAAATCAGTTACTTTCTTTCCTCAGCGGAGACAAAGTATTTTACCTTAGGAAGAGAACTCCTCGAACTCACCCTGACCATTAAGCATTTTCAATACATGTTGGATGGCAGGAACACCATAGATTTTACGGATCGGAACCCACTAACCAACACACTAAAAGCGAGAGCCAATAAATACTCGCTTCGAGGAGTTCGACACCTTGACTTTATATATCAGAGTTCACCAGTAATATCCAACATGTCGAAAATCAGGACAATCAGGCGGTAGATGCGTTATCTCAGCTTGAAATGAACGTAGTACAACAGTCTATAGTAAATTTCGAGACATTGAGGCACAACCAGGTAGAGGAATTACGAAACCTACTTATAACAAGCAACCGCGATCTCAAACTAAAGCAGTCACCATTACTATTGACAGTATTCTAATTTACTGTGACTTAACCAAGATAATGCCGCGACGTTTTGTCCCCAGAAATATGTGAAGAATAATATTTAACAACTTTATTTGTCCCATATTGGTGCAAAAGCTTCGACTAAACTAATCAATGCCAGATATATATGACCGAATTTACAAAGGAATACATACAAGTGGGTTAGAGAGTGTTCGGTGTGTCATAATTCAAAAGTTAATCGTCACACATCGGCATTTTCTCACAACCAGATGAGCGTTTCTCACATGTGCATATCGACTTAGTAGGCCTTTTATCGCGTTCGAATGGTTTTACTTATCTATTTACATGTGTAGATCGATTAATGAGATTTTATAGGACCATACCGATAACGGACATCACAGCCGAAACAACGGCTATGGTTTTCATGCAGAACTGGGTGACCATTTTTGGTACACCTATAACAATAACGATGGATAGTGGAGCAAAATTTGAATCTGAACTACATAACAACTTAGCTAAATTTCTAGGCTCCAACAGGATACGCTACACTGCATATCACCTTCCAACCAATGGGATGTTAGAACGTTTCCATCGTCAACTAAGGACTGCCCTTACATCACTCTCAAACTCTAATCAATGGACTGAATTCCTGCCATTAGTTATGTTGGGAATACGAACAACTGACAAAACTGACTCACAGTATTCAGTAGAGGAAATAAATTTCGGGACAACTCTGAGAATATCGTGTGATTTTATTAACCCTCAAACTGACATTAAAACGCTTGATTTAGAAGATTATGTGGACTAACCATGGGACCATATGTCCAAACCCAAACCAATTAATACTCGTGAACAATCGCGAGCGACATATGTACCTAAGGATCTAAGCATTTGCACGCACGTCTGGATAAGGCGTAACAAAAAAGGCACCGCTTAGCCCCCTCATTCGAAGGTGCTTTCAAAGTTATCTCAAGGAAATCTAAATATAAGTGTTAGAAAAACAAAAAATTGTTATTATTATTATTGTAAGACTCCTCCGATTGCTGGGTCGGATGCGTCTATGGTGATACTAATGGGCGCTTGATTGTCCTGATGTGTTGGCAGGTTTGCCTTAGCGATATGTTACTTAACTGTGGAGAATGCTTTTCGAGCGGTGTCGTCTAGACTAATTGATTTAGCATTTCCACGAAGTTGGTCGGTTAACGGTTTCATAAGAGATGCGCATTTAGGTATGAACCATCTGTAGAAACTTACAAGGCCGTTGAAAGTTCGCAACTGCTTAATCGTGGTCGGTTCTGGGTAATCCAGAATGGCGGCCACTTTGCTTCTAAGGGGTCGGATGCCTTGAGCATCAATGGTGTGTCCTATGAAGTCTAAGGAGTTGGTTCCGATTTGGCATTTCTGAATGTTGACAGTAATGCCATGCCTTTGTAGTCCAGATGCTGGAGATGTGATTCTCTGTCTGGACAAGCTATTAGACTGTCATCAACATATGCATGTACGAAGTTAAGACCTCGGAAGATGTCGTCTATAAACCTTTGGAAGGTTCGAGCGGCATTTCTTAAGCCGAAAGGCATTCGTAAGAATTCGTAAAGACCGAAAGGAGTGATGATGGCGGTTTTTGGAATGTCGTCGGTTGCCATCGGTATTTGGTTATAAGCCTTAACTAAGTCGATTTTCGAAAAGACAGTTGTACCTTTCAAGGTAGCTGTCAAATCGTGAATGTGAGGCAACGGGTAACGATCGGGAATGGTTTTAGCATTCAGACGCCTATAATCACCAGTTAGACGCCAATCATTGCTGTCCTTTTTAGGGACCATGTGCAAGGGAGATGACCAAGGGCTATTTGACGGTCGAATTATTCCTAAGTCTATCATGTGGTCGAATTCGTTTTTAGCCAGCCTAAACTTTTCGGGAGCCAGTCGTCGTGCTTTTGAGAATACAGGTGATCCTGTAGTCGAGATGAGATGTGTAACATTGCTGGTTACACAAGGCAATTTCGGTTGCGGTTGATATATCCCGGAGTATTCATCGAGTAATGATTGATATAGGGGGTCTAGGGCGTGCTTACTTGTGACTGGGGATAATCTGCAACCAGAAAAAGGAGTTACGCAAACAGATAACTTAGTGTTACCGTCTTTTAACCTTCGTGAGCGTGTATCGATGAGTAGGTTGTGGTATTGTAACAGGTCTATACCAATGATTGGCATAGAGACATCTGCAACAACGAAAATCCAGTGAATGGGTTTGCGTAAACGCACGTTAAAGTAAACGTACCTTTTATCATACGTAGCGATCGGTTTTCCATTCGCCGCCTGTAAGCCTAAAACAGACTCGTGAGGTCTGTTATTGGAAATTGCGGGAAGAACGCTAACTTCTGCGCCAGTGTCGACGAGGTAGCGAACTTTCGTAGCCACATCAATGACGTGTAACAAACGGCTATGTTTGCCGGCTACGGTTGCCGTTAACGCGTGCCGGCTTGGAAGTTTCCGAGTACTTTTTCGTGTCAGTGGATTTGGAGTTCTTATAATTGCAGGGTTTCCTGCAATTTCTGGAAGACTTACTATACTGGTTATGATATCAACACCAGTCGTGATTATCTGTCTCTCGTGGTCGAGAGACAGATCGCCTACGTGAGACACTTCTACGCGGGGTTTTTGACCGACTACAGCCAATACGAAATGTAAGATATCGTGTAAGCGTGTGACATAGTTCGGCTATGTCAGTCGGGGTCGATTGAGGTTTTTCTTTGACGGAAAAAACCTCGGCGCTAGTCGATTTCGTTATTTCTAAAATTCGATCGGCAGATGCAGCTAGTTCGTCTTTGGAGTTGTTTTGAAACGAGACGAGCACTGCCTGCACCTGTTTCGGGAGTTCAGACAATAAAAGTTGTTTGAATAGGCCATCGTCGAACGTTTGTTGACCTATGACTTCACTCATCCTTAACAACATGTCCGTCGCGGAACCATGTTGCAGGTTGATATTGTTAAGGAGTTGGTCTAACCGTTGTCGATCAGTTAGATCTCCGCGTTTTAGAATCGACCGTTTGAGAGTTTTGTAAGGTTCGAGAACATCACCAGTAAACATACTAGGTGTTACGTACCTGTTAAATTCGCGCGGTAACGCCTTGACTTCCGCGAGGAATCGTGTGCGCGAGTCTGTGATTCCGTACCCGCAAAAGTCAGCTTCTGCGTAGCAGAGCCAGGACTCGATATTATCAGGCCAAAAAGGCGTTAACTGAATCGAAGGTGAACAAGTCCACTTAAACAAATGTGGTCAGCATCCAATGTCAAACACTTAATGAGTTATTGATTTTGGGGAATTATTTACAGCTGCAACGCTTTTGTCAATAACACCTTTCCAACGGAGGGATACCAACCCTGTCAAATCAGAAGCCTTTGATGAATGAGTTTGAATGTATATTTGGAAAGTCGTCATGTTGATAATAGTTTGATCTAAGCTGGCTTGTAGTTTTAAGGGATGAGTAGCTCAGCGTACCCAATCTCGATCTGATGTGGATGTGCGACTAAGCGATTCCAGCTAGATTATGTCCAGTAAAACCAATGAGATCAGCATTAATGTTGAAGACTTACAGAACCATTTATTTCAGTGATTTATTTATCACTACAAACATATTTCGAGTCAGAAAGCAAGCAGTGTATAAAAATGTATTGAAGGTCAGGGTGGTCTTATTTCTAGGGCGACAAAGCGATTGAAACGCAGAGTGTAGATCTTCCAACCACACATGTACACACGCTAGAGCTAAGACATTGAAGATTTGATAGTTTGTAGTAAATTTTGTGTTTTTTTATATTCTCGGGTGTTTGTTTGTACACGCTATTTCATAAGTAAAAGGCGCTAGGTTCGACGCAGTCTTCGCAGTTGGTTCGACTATGGGGGAGTTTTGCTCTAAACCGGAGAGTGGGAATTCTCAGTCACATCCCGGTGTTTCTCCTGTTGGTACTCAACATGCCAGGTCAAGGGAAAGCAATGTCCCAAATGCTTCAACAGCAACAGCTGGCTTTCTATCTAATATGTGTGACACAATATCCCGCTTACAATCCGAAAGTCATTTACCTTCGAACGCCCCACCACCAGGTTTACGGATTGCCCCCAGCCCTGAGCAGGGTTATGCCAATAGTATCAATCGGAATGGGAGGTCTGAAAGTTTTCCAAGTGGAGGTCCGGTTGTCACAAGTAAGTTATTTGTTTGTCTTCGTTTGCCTGACGAGAATTTAAGTGAATCTTCTCTGAATGCACGATAATTAAGTTCCAGTCGAAGTCGATGTCTGGGATGTGGGAATATATGCGAGCGATATTCGCATGCAGTATGCATGCTTTTTTTAAAGGTTTACTGAAAAATAGTACAAGGAGGACCCAAATATATGTGCACCGTACTTCGTCATTCGATTTGTATAAGGGCTGAAATACTGCTCAGGCACTCAGGTATAAGCAGGTGGTTTTCTTAGGAGGTCACTCTTCAGAACCTTTACCTAGAGGTTTAATCCACAAGACAGTGGAACCACTTTAAAAGATTCAGTCCCATAGTCTCCAGTGATTAACAATAGGTTCATAGATCATTTGTTCTGTTATCTCCCGATAACAATAGTGAATGGTAACTTTGAGACCCGTTTATGGATTAATACTATGTGTATATTTTTATTCATTCATATTTTTATTATTCATATTTGCGCCCCTCTTAATATAAGCTTTATTTTGATCAATAGATTATTATTATACGATTTAAGATTTTCGAGTTATCACTAGTCTATTAATTACTACCCCTCACATTTACAGCCACATTTTGCTGAATCTTGTACTAATGTTATTTTCTGTTTAGTGATGTGATGTGGTCTGTCTGTCTAGTATATAAACAGTATGCTTAAAATAAATGATTCATACCGCAGAGGCTGTTATTGGTGTTCTGGACTTAACTGTCTGGGCTAGGGGGTAACAGAACCGGCAAGTGCTTTAGACTGCTCGTACAGGTTTTGTGTGTCATTAATCACTGCTCTCTAATTGGCGGTCTTATCACGTTGAACATTAACAGAGCATCCACTCGGCCACAAGTTATAACATGTTCCCTCAGGATCCTGGGGCCCATGTGCACCGCTGGTTTGGAATCAAGGTTTTCCGATCCCCCAAGTGGATCCTCCATATCCACCAACCCGGTTAAAGCTCCGAAATCCCCCTTTTTGTCCTCCCAATTTCGTAAACAACACCCCTGCTTCAGTTTGGTTACCCGGACACTATCACATCCTTCACACAAACCAATGATCACTGCTACTGACTTCATTGTTATTATGCGGCGCTTACGTATTTGGTGCCCCTCGTACCAAAGTTTGTGCGTTCAAATAAATAAAATAAATAAATAACCTCTGCAAGAAGGCAGTGAGCAGGACTTCCGTGGTAGTGGTTGTATACACATGATCATGTATGAGTATTTCAGGAGAGCAGACTCTCCTCACTTTCTGTTATAACTTGTGGCCGAGTGGATGACGTGATAAGACCGCCAATCAGAGAGTAGTGAATTATCAGTTGGAGCAGCGACACACGAAACCGTACGAACAGTCTAGAGTACTATCGGTCCTGCTTCTGCCTAGCCCAGCCAGTTAAGTCCAAAAAGAGCCTCTCAGTCAATCAGTCAGCTACAACGTAGGACCAGGCACATATATGCATCGGTCCAAGTTGCCATACCTCGTTAGCACACCATGTTAGACGATGTCCCTCCTTATGCTTAAAATTAGTGCTTGCTAAAAATAAACGATTGCCTGAGCATAGTTGCAACAGACGATCACCATTATCGGTTCGTCGAGCTGGAATACTAAAACACCCACGTAAATGTCTTTCTGTTTGATTTGAGCTGCCTACCTGGGCATTAAAGTCACCCGCTACGACTACTATGTCTGAGCGCTTAGCTTTCTGAAGAAGCTCAGAGAGCTTTCTGTAAAAGTCATCTTTCACTTCATCATGGCTGCAGTCAGGGGGAGCGTAGGCAGAAACGACGAAAAGGCAACGACGTGTGTCCCTATCCTTCCGAGTTCTTATGGAGCCATTTAGCCGGACAGCACACAGGCGACTGTTAACGGGGATTCATTCTAGTAGTGCCTGTTCTGCCCTTGTACTTAGTGCTATGCCTACACCTGCAAGTCCGCGAGAACTAGCCAACGGGTCGCCAGATACACGGAGGGTGGCCAAAATGGCCAGGTGAGGTCAAGTGAATGACCACACTGGGATCTTGTATGCGTGTTTCGGAGACACAGCATACATCGATGGTACGACATTCTAGGGTCTTAGCTAAGGAGGCCTGTTGACCGATTTGGCATAGGGTACGTACGTTGAAGGCTCCAATGTGTAGTTTGGAGCGAGGTTTTAGTAGACCTGGGACAGCGTTTCGCGCACTAGAATCGTTGGCCATGGTGACACTTGAGGAGGAAACCGGAAGAGGAAGTTTAGTGTTGAAAGTCAAGGTAGAAGGGATAGTAGGAATTGAAGAAGATTGATTATGAATACAGTGGTCTTGAGTGCTGTTAGAGGTATGAGGTCAGTTATCACTTCCCGGTTGCCCACACCGTGGAAGGGTTCTTCTGGGGGTACCTGAAAAGGAAATTGGGTTAGAAGTGGTCTTAATGACCTGAGAGCGTGACCGCAGTGCCCAAGGGACAACTGCTTGAGGTCGGTCACACACGACCTTTTTGTGGGTAGTTTTTGTGCTAGCTCCGTTCTTCAAAAAAACCTTACCGCCGGAGACGGATATCCGTGGGATAAGGCGAGGTGTGCATTTTTAGGGTCGACCTTTTCTAACCTTTTCTAAATATGTGCATAAGATTGGTTTATAAATAGATCTTGAAGTTACCATTCATTATCCTTATCGGGGCATAACACTTTTGGCTGTACCGAGGCATTTGGAGGTTTTTTGGAGATAGGTTTGTAAAACCAGTTTATTTCAAACTGGTGGAGCATTCCACTTTTCGCCTGTCTCTTCAGACAACCCGAATAATGTCCTGCGGAGTGTGCCATATACCTCCATAGGGAGCTCTGAAGAGTTCTTTGCCTATCGTCAACTTCATAGATTTTTTCATGTATGCCTGGCTTTGGTTCAAATAAACTGAAAAAGCTTCTGATATTTACTAGGCGGGGACGTTACTGCTATATCGACACCGTGTTCTGAACACTGGCTTTTAAAGTTCCCAAGTTATCTATGAAAGGGGCTTATGGATAGTTATACTGGTAGTTTGCCAGGATATACTATCACATGTTAGACATAAACAAAGCTCAGAAATCTAGTAGATACAAATGACTGATTGCTCTTTAATCTTAGATCACTAACCGCTTGTCAAAAATTTCATTTACTATGTTGCCCATCATCAATTCTTTGCCTAAATCTTATTCAGGAATTTCAATTTGTCCTCAAGGGCTTTTAGATATGTGCTGGATGTAAATGAAGTGTTTCAAAGTTTGGTTCCATGTATGTTATTCATTTAACTAGTACGAGTACGGTACCATCCATTTTCTGACATCCCAATGTACAGTACTAGCTGATATGAGTGAAAAGTTTGTCACTTAGTTGTGTAGTCGGAGGTGAACGTTTTGGATGTGATTCTCACCATGATGAAAATCAGTTGTTAGAAATCCCATACGTTTAAAGTATTTCGAAATGACACATCTAATCACTTTTGACCTTTAAATTTTTAAAGTACTGTTCCTTATCCATTTCTTTCTCGCTTATTTCGCTACAGTTTTCCCTTTAATCTTTTATACTTGAAGAGTGTAGTAAATTTAACCATTAGGTTTGTGAAATTGTTTCGATCTATATGTGTAGTGATTGTTTGGATTTATGGTCAGTATCCAAGGTTATCAATCAAATCTTGTTCATATCTCTAAACTTTGTATTACATCAGCTGGACCTCATGCAGGATTGTTGACTCCGGAAGACATGCTTGCTGCAGCACAAATTTGTAGCCATCTAAGTCAGTCACAACTCAACGCTCTGGCAGCTGCTTACCATCAACGGCAGCAACAAATTCAACGTTCTGTCGGCCCAACTGCTTCAGGAACTTCAACTCTTGGTCACGTACCAGGAATTACATTTGCACAGGCTCTAGCAGCCGTTACATCTGTATCGAAGTCATCATCTCCTACAATTCCTCTGGGTGTTTACAGCTCTCAACAGTCACCTCGATTGCCGGTTCACTCAGTTCAAACACCTGTGCATCAAGGGAACCAAAAACGCCCCCCTAGTGGTCAGTCTCAGTTTCACTCAGGACATCCTATTCAAATGGGTTCAACTACACCCGGTAGTAAGTGTTGTCAATAATAGCTATTGTATTTTTCATCTGTTATGATAAGATGTTACTCACTTTTTTCTCGAGCTATTCTTAACTTACGCATACGTATCATGACCACATGTGGACCTTGTTTATACCAACAATGTCACAAGCTTCATGAATCATGCAAGCTACGTTTTAGGAGCTGGTGTCCATTGAAGAAAACCTATCATGGCTAGCATAATTTCATCATCACATCACTTTCGATGCCACTGACGACCGTTACAAGTTGCGCATATAGTCTGTCATAATTTTATGCATAAACTGCCGGGCAAGATAATTAGGATTCATTCTCAGTGTACTGAGAACTCAGTTATACCAATACACACTTTACACAGAGGTGCGTAGATCATTCAGAGCAGATCTTCTACCTCACTAAGGTTGCATGTAAGTTTAGGAGTTGAAAAAAACCAAATTTAGACAAAAGACCATGGTTTGTGAGTGGAACTAGTTCAAAGTACTTTGCCGGTTTTCAGATTCGGTGGCTACTGAGCCGATGCATATATGTGCCTGATCCTACTTTGTAGCTGACTGAATTGGTTTTCTTTGTAGGCAGTTACGGTTCAATGCAGCTGACTATATAAAAAGGTTAATTTTTATTTTAGCTCGTCCAGCTTCAGCGTCTCAGGCTATCCTTCATCATCGCGGAAGTCATCCTGGTTCTTCAGGATTCGGGACAATGAGTTCTCACGTCAATCCATCACAACCGATTACCTCACACCTGGATCATAGTTTGCACAATGCACATCATCAGACAAGGGCTTCACCATCACTATCACCCAGTCCTGGAAACAATATTTATCAAGTTAGTGCTCCTTTCGTTGGCATCACTAAAGCAATAATTGAAATATTCTTTACTTATCCTTTACTAACTGTAAGGTGTAACAATTAAAAGTAGAATGTATATATTTTCGTAAATATCCTTCAAAATTCCTTCCTAATCAGCAAGTAAAACTAACCTAGATTGTAGAATTAGCGAAACATTTACGTTGCTGGATATAGTAACTTTGACGCTAAAATTGTTGTTTCACACTAGTCCAGAGACTAATAAATTTGTCTACAATCTTATCAGGAATCATCTGATATATTCTGACATATAACCTTTATCATATGGTTTTCAAGTGTGGTTTGCTTGAGATTCAAAATTGTAACGGGATTTACTTTAACAGCATAAGTGAGTTAAAAATGGTACCAAACGTTTTCCTCTCTGCTATATTCAAAACCTATCTTAATCAGGCATACTTATTGTTTTCAGTGTGTTCAGTCAATCATAAGCAGCTTATGAATTGGCGTAAATGTGCATATCCCTAACTTACTGCACTACATCAGCGCTCACACAGAAAAGAAAGATTTGTAGCAGAGCAGTCATTATGATAGTAGTCTCGTTTATGATAAGAAGCATCAAATAGAATAAAATCGGGGGAGTAAAAGGTACGAAAACTCGGGGTTTCGAGGAGAATAAAGGGTGTGTACATCTGGACCATCGGGTTATTTTGAACCTTACCACTCCACATCCAAACATTTTCGATTACATCTTGGTTAAATGGTACAATACTTCAAATTGTGGCGTTAGTATATTGTCGAAAAGGTATATTCATTCCATTTCCATTTGATCAGGTGTTCAGCTACATGTTGTACTGTTATTTACATACAATAATCTATATGTGGTATACACAGCATGTTTTTCTCAATAGACTTTAAGCTGCTACTTGAATAGCCGACATATAGTTCTACGTTTGATTGTCGTCTTACTTTGTATTTAAATGATGTTTTCACTACTAATCGTCAGGTTACCCGATTTTCATGCTTTCATACGCTGTAAACATTTTGTTTTTAGAATCGCCGTTCACAACTGGCTCCCCCTTCAACTCATCCGAACAAAAGACCTCGTATTTCCTTAGGATCCCAATTACCACACTCCATTTCGTCCTTACCTTCTGCTCATGTAACAAATACAATTGCTCCAGCTGAGATGGAAGCTTTACTGGGGAGTGTTGTTGCTAGTAAGGCGATGGCAAGTATTGCAGCTGGTTCTAACTTTCTTAATCCAAACGCCTATTCTGCAGCTACAGAAGTTGCTGTTGCAGCTGCAGCAGCCCTCACACCTTTTTATACATCAATTAACAATAGTAGCTTATCGAACCCATCATTGGTCGCCACTCCAAATCAAACTGCTTATCAACCGCACATTCAACATCACGGTTCAGTCGGTAGTAATTCAACTTCTGGCACTCATTTATTCAATCAACAACATGTTCTATCATCTTCCAGTTCAGCGTATCCAGGTTCTCTGATGGGTACCTTACCTGGTTCGCTTCTAACCTCGTACAATAACAGACCATTTCCTCATGCAACTGCGCCTACCCAGGCGATAACTTCCGGACAAACCCTAGTTAGCGCACCTGTCTTGGGATCACAAACTGTAACTAGTCAGCCTCCATTGTCACATATGCCAGCGAAAGCATCGCATCCAACATCAGTCTCCCAAATCCCTTCTCGCCTGATTTCTGGCCATCTTCATCATCCACATGCTCCTACACATCCTAGTCAAAGCAGTTTCCACCAGTCAAATCATCCTTTACCACAGCCAGGTTCTCAACATCATGTGATGGGCCATTCTAATCTCCCTCAAGGAAGTGGCGTACTTCGACAGCAGACTAAAGAACCGGCTTATCACCCACAGGTAGGTGTTTGTATCTTGATATTTTAAACGTAGATCTCGCCAGTTGTTTTTACGTCTGTTACCTCAGGGAATTTCTATTTCACTCAAATTAGTAATAATGTTTCAAAGCTTTTTATGTTGAGAATATTGACGTTTCTTAGGTTCATGTGACAATTTTTTATTCTCGTGTACTTGAGCTCACAATTAGCTGTCCTTACGCATTCACTAAAACTTAGTAAAACCGACTAAAAAATTCACCAAACTGTAGACAATCAGCTTCACAGTTTACAATAGAATTTGCAACATACGCCCGTTACTCCTCGTGTAGGAGCATAAGCCGCCCACCAGCAGTAAAGTAGAACTGTCTTGACGTTCGTATTGAAGATTCTGAATTTTATGTTGGTTTTCAGACAGTTGTTTTGAGTTCCATATGTTCTTCAGCTGTAGGAATAGTGCCCTTATTTTTCCAATCCTTGCCTTCACGTCTTCACCCGATCCTCCTTGTTGATCGATGATGCTGCTGCCAAGGTTAATGAAAATTTCCACCTCTTTCAGAGTTTCTCCATCGAATGTGATTAAGTTGGTGTTCTCTGTGTCGTATCTGATGATCTTAGTTTTGACCTGCATTTGTTGGTGTGTGTGAGATAGAAGAGCTATGTCATCTTCATGGTTCAAATCGTCTAGTTGCATCCAATCTGTCCATCGTATTTCGTGCTTCCTCTAAGATGTGGAGGTCTTCATACTCCAGTCGATCACGAGAAGAGAGAAAGGGTGAGGGTGGTCATCCTTGTCTGACTCCGGTCCTTACTTGGGATGCATCTGTCAACTGTCCTCAATACACGACTTTACATTGTAGTCCGTCATATGAATTTAGGATGATGTTGACAATTTTCGCGGCTACTCACAACACAGTGTCGAAGATGTTTTCATAATGTTCTCCCATACACTCTGTCAAATACCTTCTCATAGCCAATGAAGTTGATTTATAATGACATGTTTCACCTAACTGATTGTTCAAAAATTGATCCGTTGTGTCGCGATTTATTTATTTTATTTATTTAAACACATATATATTGGTACAAAAGGGCACCAGGTACATATGCGCCACACAAAATAATGGAAGTAGGTAGATAAAGGATGAAAAGATAAGGCGGGCTGAAATGTACAACCAGAAGATTCTTTCAGTTAGGAAAGTTAGAACCATTCTTTATGTAGAAAGTAAAAGAAGGTTGCAGCAGGATCGCCACTGGCTTCTATTCTGAGCCATATCCGATAACGTCTCTAGCCACTGTGTTGCACTATCTCTCGGACCCCAACCAGGGAGTCGTGAAGGACCAACGGAAGCTAGCCCTTTGCAGCTCTCTTTCATGCCACGACACCATGTCATACACTGACCTCCTCTCCGCTTTCTCCAACCAGTCCCAGGGTCGGCAAATAATGCACGACGCGGAAGTCTCTGGGACGACATTCGTAAAACATGTCCGAGCCACCGAAGTCGGTGTTTCAAGATGGTGACACCAATTGAATTATCGTCTCTGCGCCCGAACACACGATGCCGAACCTCTGCATTACTAACATGGTGTTGCCACTGTATGTCAGCAATCCTTCGGAGACAACGATGATCGAACACAGAGAGACGTCTAACATCCTCAACTCGGAGAGGCCAGGTTTCACAAGCATAGAGCAAAACTGCTCTCACCGACGCGTTGTAGATCCGACCTTTTACAGCCAGACTAACATCACGAAGGCGCCAAAGATGGCCCAGATTGGCATAAGCCGCTCTGGCTTTCATTAAACGTGCATCAATCTCATCACTCACGCCACCACCAGCACTTATATAGCTACCTAGATACACGAACTTCTCAACTACTTCGATCTCCTCACCATCCAGGGTGAGTACAGGATGAGAATCCTGCCAGTCTTGTAGAAGTACTTTGCACTTGGAGGGTGCAAAGCACATGCCGTACCTGCGGACACTGATTGCCAACTGATTAAGTGCTGATTGCATGCCTTGGGCATTATCGCACAGTAAGACAATATCATCCGCATACTCGAGGTCGAGAAGTCGTTCTCCAGACAACATATCCACACCGCCATTACTTACATCCATCAGAGCTGTTTCTAGGATGTCGTCGATGACAAAGTTGAAGAGGAATGGGGAGATCGGGCAACCCTGCCTAACCCCACTGCTCGAATGGAACAAGGGAGAAAGGTGGTTGTATGCCCTCACTCTGCCTGAGGTGTTCGTATACAGGGCTTTTAAGATGTTAATGAACTTCTCAGGCACACCCTTCTTCAATAGACAATCCCAGAGAACAGTCCTGTCCAACGAATCGAAGGCCGCCCTGATATCAAGAAACACTACGATTGTTGGCCTGCGATAAGTATGACGGTGTTCTAACATTTGGCGGAGGGTGAAGATGTGATCAATGCATCCTCGACCAGAACGAAAACCAGCCTGCTCCTCGCGAGTCAATCGTTCTCGGGTTTTAAACAACCTACGAAGAATGATAGAAGCCAATAGTTTGGACGCGATCGAAAGTAGACTTATCCCCCGATAGTTGCTACAGGAACAACGTGAACCCTTTTTAAAGATAGGGACGACTATTGACTCATTCCAAAATGTTGGAACACTTTCTTGCTCCCAAACCTTTCCAAACAACGCAGTCAGTTCCTTAGCCAGAAAGTCACCACCATCTTTAAAAAGAGCCGGAGGTAAGTCATCTGGGCCAGGTGATTTATAACGTTTCAAGAGTTGGAGTTCCTTGCGGACTTCCGCCTCGTTTGGTGGATCAGTCGTCACCGGCCATGGGGAGCAGGACAAGCTGGTTGATGTTGCCGGAGCAGCAGGCCAGTTGAACTGCCCTTCGAAAAATTCCGCCCATCGTCCAAGACGTCGACAGATGTTAGTGATTGGCATCCCGTCATCCTCGTAGATTGTTTCACTCACACCAGACTTCTTGCTGCCAGTGGCTCGGATGAGTTGGAAGAGCTTCCAGCAGTTACCAGATGCAGCTGCTGCTTCCATCTCATTAGCACGCTCCGACCACCAGGCTTCCCGGTCCTTACACAAGCTTTGCCCGATTTCATTACGTAACAGCCTTCGTTTGTGGTCAAACTCACGGTCACCCGGAGTAGACCGACGGGCTTCCATCAGTTGTAAGGAGCCAGAAGAAACCCAGTGCTTGTAAGCGGGACGTTTCGCGAAGCCGCAAGCGGCTTTACTCGCCATTTTCATGGCGTCATGAAGATGCAACCAATGCTTACCTATACTTTTCGGTGGGGTGGTAGCTAGCCTAGAGGCTAGCTCCGCTCGATACTTACTTGCAACAGAAGTTGCAGCCAGTTTACTAATATCAATCCGTTGGTGGTGGTCAATCCTTCGGCCACTGAAAAGTAAGGTGAGATTGGCGCAGACCAGGGCATGATCAGACTCCAGATAGGTATTCCAAAAGGAGCGGCAGTCTTGTACACAACCACGCCAGCGGTAGCTGATCGCGATGTGATCAATCTGAGTCCAGGCTTGGGATGCAGAGGGAGGACGCCAGGTGGCACACCGGCGATGACTGTGCCGGAAGTTAGTGCTGGCCAGAAACAGGTTGTGGTCTGTGCACAGTTGCAGCAAACGGTCCCCGTTATCTGTCCTGCGACCAACAAGTCCCCATCGGCCACCTAGACGACTCTCTTCTGTGCCTAGACGCCCGACCTGTGCATTCAAGTCTCCGGCTAGTACTACAATATCTGTCGAACGCGCTTTCTGGAGAAGAACTGTTAACTGATGGTAAAACTCATCCTTGATTGCATCCAGGCTGCAATCTGTCGGGGCATAGGCGGAGATGACGAAAAGACACCGTTTCTCACGCCGATTTCTTCTCACTTTGATGGAACTTTCTAATCTAACAGCACATAACCGACTGTTAATGGGGATCCAATCGATTAGTGCTGCCTCAGCTCTAGCGCTTAGTGCGACACCAACGCCAGCAAGACCAGACGAAGATGCCACAGGGTCCCCGGATAAGCGCACGTGGAACAAGCTTTTCGAGGCGACAGATGGAGAGCGGATTTGTAGTACTTCACTAGAGTCTTGAATACGGGTCTCGGATAGACAACAAACGTCAACATTAAGACCTTCCAAAGACATAGCCAGCCCTATCTGTTGTCTGATCTGCATTAGTGTGCGAACGTTGAAGGAAGCCAGCTTGAACGGCGTACGTGGTTTCAGAAAGACTGCCTCAGTATTCATAATCGGTGGAAGCATTCACTTTCAACCAGACAGTGACTGGAGATCGTTTAGATAGGACAGATTTTCCACCAAGAGCGAGCTGCTGCATAAGTTGAAGAGTAAGGTTACACAAATTGGGGATAAAAGGGGGTGAATTAGCGATATGGTAAGTAATAATAATAATAATAATAATAATAATAATAATAATAATAATAATAATAATAATAATAATAATAAAGGTAATAATAATAATAATGTTAATTGTTTTGCTTTTAGTATGACCAGGGATATCGTCAATAAAGTTCATAATTTCATTCATTTGTTTGTGTGTGGGCTGTGATACTGCCCGGGTGCCCAAACCGAAGCAGGTGGTTTTCTTAGGGGACCACACCCCGAGCCTTTGACCTAAAGGTCTGATCCACAAGGCAGTGGAGCATCGTGAGGAGATGCAGTCCCATGGTTGCCGTTGACCAACAGCAGGTTCTTCCGCCATTCGTTCCATCAGGATACTGGAGCCCATGTGCACCATTGGTTTGGAATCAGGGTTTTCCAACTCCCCTAGGTGGACCCTCCGTGTCCACCAATCCGGTTATAGCGCCGAACATTCGCTTTTCGTCCTCTCACTTTCGTAAACAACACCCCCGCCACGAGAAGGCAGTGAGTAGGATTCGGTCCGTGCACGACCTATCCTTGCGGACTCCAGCCTGTTGATCTCGAAGTAGGGTGTCTACTGCATCTTTCATCCGGTTCAGCAACACTGTTGAAAAAGTTTCCTGGTACCGATAGTAGTGTGATTCTTCCTTAGTTCTCACAGTTGCTCAGACCTCCTTCCTTTGATATCTTGATTAGTTATCCTTCTTCTCAGTCTGTTGATGGCACTTGTTCTTTCTCCCAAATCCTCCTTAATAGAACGTGGAGCATCTTTGCAGTTACTTCCATATGTGAGTCTAGTGCTCCAGCTGGTGTATTGTCAGGTGCTGCTGCTTTTCCACTGTTGATTTGTCTGATGGTCATCTTGATTTCTTCGATCGTTTATGGAGTGACATCTATAGGAAGGTTTGTGTGGAATGCTTCGATGTCCGGTGGGTTCAATGGAGTTGGTATAATCAAGCGTTCTCTAAAGTATCCTAATCATCTGTTCCTCTGTTCTTGAATCTGATTGATTGGCTTGCCTTCTTCATCCTCGACTGGTCTCCTTGTTTTAGTATATTTGTCTGTTAGTTTCTTCGTTGTATCATATAATTGTTTCATATTTCTTTCTCTTGCAGCATTTTCCGCTATCGTTGCTAGTTCTTTCCACTTCTTCGAGTAGATCTTGCAATTCTTGGGACTTGTTGTTGAGAGCTATGTTGAATCCGTTGAGTTTGTTAGTATGTCGAAGGAAGGTTGTTTTGAACCTTTGTAATGCTGTTCCCCCGGTTGTTCAGTGCTTCTTTATCCTTAGTTCTATCTTGGCCAAAACTAGGTGGTAATGTCAAGCTATGTCGGCTCCTCTCTTTGTTCTCTCGTCTCCCACTGTCCATCTGAACTTTTTGGTGATACAAATATGATCTATCTGGTTCTCCGTGGTGTGGTCTGGTGATATCAATGTATCTCTGTGTGTGCGTCTGTGTGGGAATATTGTGCCACCTATAACCTATTTGTTGAATGCACAGATTTGCAAATCTCTCGCCATTCTCGTTCCTTTTTCCCAGTCAGTCTGTGTCGTCTCATGATATTTTCATACCTGATTGTCATATCCTACCTTTGGATTCAGGTGTGCTATCAGAATGATGAAATCCTTTCTTAGGCACTTCGCTATAATCGATTGCAGCCTCTCGTAAAACTGGTCTTTATCGTCGTCGTTGCTGTCATTGGTGGGTGCATAACTGGATAACATTCATTGTGACTGCTTTGTTTGAAGAGACTGAGAGTTCACCTTAATTTGCGAACGAAACGAATACTCAGCGACACTGTTCAGATGAGTTAACGATTCCGATGCGTCCCAGCCATACTAACTAGAGAGAGAAGTCTAGGTTCACAAGCGGGAAAGTGTATTCCACAAGCAGCCAGAAACACGGACAAAAACAACAAGCACGACTCAAGCGTATATATACATCATAAAACTGTTGGGGACGTTAGATTCCCATAACTCACTTACTGAATGACTTATTTTTGTAATTTTATTTTGAAAATATGAATTTCTTTGTTTTCGCTCCTAAAGCACTCTTTTCACCTTTATGTTCTATTTCTCATTTGGGAAAATCTTAAACGCTATTGGTCCGTTGTATCTTTTAGTATGCTATTTTGTAACGCTTCTCAAGCACTATTTTATGCTGTATATATACGTTTGATTTGTACCTGTTGTGATTGCTTGTGCTTCTGACTGCTTACGGAATATATCTTACCCAATTCCAACTTCGACTTCTCACTGTAGTTAGCGGGTCTGGGACGCGTCAGAATAGATGGCTTATTTGTCTTTGGTCACAAGTCTTTGTTCCGTTCGCAGACTAGGTGAACTCGTAATCGCTTCAAACATAACAAAAAATGTCAAAAATAGCATATTAAGAGAGGCAACGAACCAATGACATTTAAAGTCCTGTCAAGTTGGAAATACGATATGAAGGTGAAAATGGGCGATTTCGGTGCGTAAACATTAAATTCAGATTTCGAAAATAGAATTTCATCAACGGTGATCCCTTCCTTTGTTTTGAAGAATGGTTTAATCATTCTGGATCCACGAGATTCTCATCCAATAAGTGCTTGTCATGCTTCTTTTTACTGTATAAGTGCAAATCTCTGAGTGTGCGAGGCATCTGTTTCATGATCAAAGTACAGTAGCATGTTTCCCGGATCTAATCTTTTCTGCCCAACTTGAGTCCAACAGGTTTCACTTATTCCAAGTTGTATCTCCCCAATTTCGTAGCTGTTCGACTGGTTCTTCCGATCTCCTACGTTATCCGAACATTACATATACCTATATTAATTTTTCCGGTTGTTAGAAGAGGCATCAGACTCATGATTTCTGAAGAATATCGGCTTTTACCATTAGGCGTCATAATTCTTCTGAATGAAGATCCTTCAACCCGGAGGTCAGAGTTTAAATGGTTTGAATTGTTTATTCTGGTTAGCGTTCTTTAGCAAGGTTGTTTTCTACGGGATGAGTTTGCTGACCCCATACCCAACCGCCCTTCTTTATCCGGGCTTGTAACCGTCAGTGACCCTTGAAGAGCTATAGGCAGATTTAGAATTCGCAAGTTGTGATATAATTCAAGTAATATGACATGGAGAAGCCTTTAAATGCATCCGCGTACGCATTTATTTTCCCGTACTCCCCTGAGGTACTATAGAATTTATGAAGGTGTTATAATAAATGTTATTTGTTAAATCGCTGCTAGATACATCAATGCAAATTGACAATGAATCTAAAGCGAAATTTACTTAATTCTCATTTCCAGGGGGTTATTTTACTGTGGTTGAATTCATCATCAGAGTGGTCGGTAAATTGAATAAATTGATGTTTACCAAATTCCCCAGTAACACAAGTGTTCGTTCTTGATTAAAAAATTGCCATAAGCGGAATGTATTATGAACACATTTTCCAAGGTTATAATATTTTGCTACCAGCCATGAAACTATAAGTCAACTTATCCAGCGATATCCAGTTTAGGTTATATTTATGGGTGCTAAATGCCAATGTAGTAAATGAATAATCTGAGCTACTTACCTCATAATAATATGGCTTTCTCGCTGTGTTTATTAGAACATCTACCTATGTAACTAATTTCATTCCCTATAGCTCTCTGTGAATTTCAGCACAGATATTGTCATAGTTGTCATGCTTTACCAACAAGCTCTTTATTAAGTCTCCTATAGTGCTAATCAGTAAAAAATTGGTTGTTTATTTCACTTTTCTGTAGAAATTGCAAATCTGTTTATGAATATTTTTCTAGGTTGAAGCCATATCCCCTGCTCCTGATGAATCTCGTCTAGTGGATGCCCAGGATGCAAAGCTTCATCGTGAAAGGGAAGAAATTAACCGCCAGCTGACAGTATTAGATGCTGATATTAATAAACAAGAATCTCATCTCAGAAATCTGTGTGAGCGAGAGGCTCGGTTAATAGCTCGACTTGCGGTAGTACCTACACGCGATACATCGAACAATAATTTGAACAGTAACAGTCATGAAAGTAAATCAAATAAAGGGGATCTTGCTGTTCCGGAAGTATCTTTCATTTGTAAAACCGGTTTTGAACGAAATTACGAAAACCCAATACAGGTATTACTTTTGTGGTTTTATGTCGATTGTATTACCGAGCATTTCATACTAAAAACAAGTGTAAGGTCTATAAGCTGAAGTACAAGAGTTACTTATCAGCCATTATTAACTAAACTCTGTTTTCCATTACTTGTGGTCAAGGTAAAACAAAATTTGAGGTCACTAGGTTCAGTTTTAAAAAGGATTATACATGTATGTTGCTATACTAAGTTAGAGGATGGGCCAGTTATTGTTCGCTCTTTTAGTCTCATATGGCAGTAAAAATAGCTAGTGTTTTATATATAGATGCAAACTATTTTCGTTGCCTTAGAATTATATTTGTTAATTTCGCTCTCTTTTGGTTTCAGGCAATTATTTCTGACAACCGCCAACGTACTCGTCAGCGTCATCTCATTTTCACAAGACTTTGTGGTCCCAAAGTTAGACCTGGACCACATGCCCTGCCATTTTATCGCCAACCATCCGACTTGTCAAGTGTAAGGGCTATACAATCCAACTTTCGCAACCATTTCCGTCCAAAACTTGTTGTTTATCTTCGAAGACGTCTCCGTGCTGAACAAAGTCGTACCAATTTTTTGGCTCAACAATACGGACGAAATTCTAGAGTATGTTCATACATTCTATAAGCGATCTATTTTATAAGCGGGTATTCAGTAGTAAAGCGTTGATAAAATAATATTACGACTAAGTATCAGCTTAACGATCGTAGAATAAAGATGTCTCTGTGGATTAAATATGCTTATGTTTTAAGTTGGGTTTTTCAAATTATTGAAAGTGATTGTTACATCACGCTTACTATGCATCGTATACACGATGATTGTTCCTATTCGCACCTAGTAGATATTATACACAAGATAAATGTAGAACTAACGATGCACAATGCCTAATCTTGTGTTCTAATTATTCATATGCCGTACTTATTTATTTACAGATATTTACCAAAAAGATGGACAAATTACTCAGTACGACTAAACGACTTCAACGTGATCTTCGTCATCGAGATATTTTTGAGAAAGTGATGCCGGAAGTTAAAAAAAATCGCGAAGACAGGGAAATGGGAAACACTGAATACGCTAAACCAGGGGTCGATGATGGTATGTCTATTGTTGTTAAGTTAGTTTGTGTTTGTTTTATATCATATCTCACAACATCTTATGGTAGGGTATTTTATTATTGACTTGAACTTATGTATTTGTATCCGCGTTAGGTGAATATTATTATCATTGCTCTTATTATTAACCCATTATCAGGTATCTATTGATGTACTTGGCTTCGGTTTACACTTCAATTGTGAGAACCAGTGATGGTACACGGTTGCCCAAACATAAGTAGATGCATTAAAATTTAAACCTACGACTTAGTAACTGAAATTTGGACATCCCAACCACTAAGTTACTACTTCTCTTATAGTGTGGTTTGAAGGTGTGAGTACAAATCTACCCTTGTTGAAAGGTAGATTTACTGATTTTCAAAATCGGGTATAAATAAACAAATAAGAGGTCAAATCGTGGCGATAGTTCAAGTATCTAGCTGCATAACGCCGCTTTTTCATTGTCATAACACCAATAGTTAGGATGGAGACATGTTTCATCCGGGATGTTAATTATAATTTCTGATTGTGTTCCTGTTTTTTGAGGAACTGTTAGTGTGCTTGCATGTAGGGTCAAATCAGCAATAGCAGTACGTGCTTTATTCAATAACCACCAAGTCGGTATTAAAAATATCAAGTTAATTCAGAATGGCTTTTTCGATTAAAAAGGAAGGCAAGCAGCTAACGTGTTCTGTATAACTCCCAATCCCTCTGTCTCAATAAGAGGAAAGGCCTGGTTATCCATTCAACTTGGACCATGTATTCAAATAACCGCATTTACTTCTATTCAATTTCCAGACCATTAATGGACATAAATGCATACAAATTTCAACTCTACTCCTCAATTCGGGAATCAACTAGCATACTCACAAGTGTACACGGTCATCTCTTACACAAAATCACCTAGACCTAGAATGAAGTGACATCAATGTAATCAGACTTATTTAGATTTTGAGTTAACTAAATATTTTGCCTGTTCCACTATACTGTTCAAATTTGTGCTAGTTTGGTTATTTATTCTGAAGAAGTGTCTTACACGAGTTTCTCTCACAAAAATATATTTCATTACTAAGACTCTACTCAATGCTCAATTTATTTTAAACTATAAAGTCCGACCTTGGCAATGATTCCTTTCAGGATAATTCTTCCTTCAAACGGGTTTTATATTCTTCATTCACTAAGTAAACGTTTCTATGTCTTTCTGTTTACTTTGTTTGCCAAAAACAGATTCTGGCGGGGTTTCTAACTTAAATGATGGTTCTCAGACTACTCCCTACGATGCTATAGAAGAGATGAATAAATTAAAGGTGATTTCTTAATAAACGATTTCTCTTTTTTCCTATAAATAATCTTCAAACTAAAGTCTTTAGAGTAAGTTATTTTTATTTGTTAAGACCACTGAGATTATGTTGTTAAGGATACTCAGAAGTTAATTCCATAGTTTATTTCATAACCAGAATCTAGTCCCTAACTGTTTTATAGCTAAATCTGTCAAGACTACTAAAAGCGTGAAATTCCGACTCTACTGGTCACTCTATACATAGACTGTAACGTTGATGCTACTTTTGTCTTAGCACGATACATATATCCGAATGGTTGAATTTAAGTTATTTGATTAGATAATTATTTACATCTTTGCTTTGATTCTGGTAAAACAAGTTTCGTCATCGGCCGATATGGCAAAATAATCTGACATTTCTTGGTTCATAATAAACAGTTTGTCCTAAAGTGAGTGTGGCTAAAAACATTTTATAACAGGTTACCATGTCTGTTTGTAAGTTGAATTCCAGTCGCTAACTGTTAGTCATGGTTTTACATATGGCTTGAGAATCGTATCAATAAAAAGCTTGAGTCGTTTATGGATTTAGGTTTACAACTCGAGCTCTATGCTTGCACAAGTGTACGTATGTTATTTGGTAAGAAGTGAAAAGTTCGAAGTAAAAGTCCTCTGGATTGATTTAAATTTGCGAAAGATAACGTAACTGAGTTTACAAAGTTTTAGTCATTGTTAATATCATCATTCAATGCATCCCAATGAACTCGTAAGTTCTGTATATAATGTTCGAATGGAATTACGATTAAAGAATACTAAATATTGGGTTTACTGGTTTGTTGATTGCTATGGCTAATTGTGATATCACGTTATAGTCTATCTCTTGTCAGTGAAATGAATAAAAGATCAACCTCACTTTTTAAATGATCTCATTTTTATTCTTAGTTATTTGTTCACTATACGATAAATCACTTATATTTACTCTAAAATAGTCGGGTATATCTGTTAGTGGTATATGGATTGAATTAAAGCATGTTCTGTACAGGATAGCGTTGGGGTACGCTGATTGGCCATTCCTTAGCTAATCGGCGCTAGCGGATACTTGAAGAAGACTCTAGAATATTGGGTAAAATTATACATATACTAACGTTTTTTATTGTGATTCCTACTTCTATCCGACTTTGTTTATTTGAAATATCATTAAGTTCCTGTTCAACCGTGTTCTGATTTGGGGACTTATCAAGTATCCATGAACACTTAGCAATAAGAGTGGCTAGGTCTTAATAAAAGAAAACATAATATCTTACACACATGATAGTTTTATGTGACTTAGGTTATTTAGCTTAAGGTTAGCAACGTATGATTTGGAAAAAATATCCATGTGCTTAATTTGCCACACTGGATTATTACAGTGATTGGTAAAGGAGTTAGAATGAAAGTAGTATTGTTCATCAGTAAGAATAAATATGTAGTGAATATGGTTCGAATAAAATGTAAGAACTAATATGGATACTCAAATCTAGTGGGGAAATAAAAATGAATGCGTTTGCGCCACTGGGACATTTTGAGCCACTTTAGAAAAATAACTAATATTTTATCCTTGTAATATATATATATATATATATATATATATATATATATATATATATATATATATATATATAACGAATGGTCCTTCATTAGCACCAATTAATTTTTCTAGCTGCAGTCGTAAAACATTAGTACATTAAGTTGATAATATTCCTCTTGAGCCTATCGTGTTATGACCATGTTTAAATATCTTCATGTTGCATCATAATCACGCTGTAGTCATCAGTTAATCAAACACTTCAATCTGGCTTTTATGATCAAAATAACGATTGTTAGTAAAATCACACAGCATAACGTAACTGTATAGTCTTTTCCATACTTTTCTTGATAGTATATATATTTTCATAGCTAGATTAATGAGTTATATTATTTTTACACATTCCTACAATAATCATTGTCTTCAAGATTTCCCCAAAGTTTTATTTCTAAATAATTTTGTGTCCCTAGGAATATGCAATTGATCCTCCAGTTATGCTTGCACCTTGGCAGCGTCGATATCAATTCATATGTGAATCAGGTTTAATCACAGACTGTCGTGCTCAGCTTCAAGAAAATCAAGATCTGTCTAAGTGGTCGGAAGAAGAAAAGCAAATATTTAAGGAGCGCTATTTAGCCACTCCTAAAAATTTTACTTCGATAGCTTCATACTTAGAGCGTAAATCTGTTGCAGACTGTATCCACTATTACTATTTATCCAAAAAGAAAGAAGGTTATAAACAGCTGTTGAAGAAGCATAACGCTCGTCGACGCCGAGCAGCTCAGACAGAACGTGGAGGAGGGGGTGGTGGTACTGGTGGAGTTGCTAGCAATTCAAATACTGGCGGGAGTAGCGGTAGTCATGGTAGTAGTAGTAGCAACAACTCAAATATGAACACTATCCCTCCATCCTCTGGTAGTTGTCAAAATGGGCACACGAATATAAATTCTCCTCGTGGAGAACGTAATGAAGCAGATGAAAAAGATCCAGGAGGATTAAAAAATTCACAAACCGATTCTTCTAGGTTTCCTGAATCTAATGAAACAGCTGAGCATAAGGTAACATTATTCACATTATATTTTCCACTTCGACTTTCATTTTAAGTAACCATTAAACGAACGTAAATACTTTATTAATGTCCATATTCAGGTTTTGTAGAGCTCCGTTTGGGCCACATCAATATAGATAACTGCGGAGTATCAATAACTAGTGTTTAGTTACTTTTGTTAGATTACTGTTTTGTTTTGAACATCTGAAAATATTTTACTATTTTTGTTCTCGGTTCCAAAATCTGGGATATTTGGATATTTCATATCCTGTAAGCCATATCGTAAGTTGACATAAACCGCTAGGCGATAACGAACTTAGAGTACCCACAGAAAAAATGGTATCTATTTTTTCTTTCAATAAGTGGTTTGCTTTTATTCGAATTTTCTTGATAATTCTCAAGGACTGACCACTTAACCCTTCTCATTTGTTAGTCGTCTTACGTTTGTTTCTGTAACTAATTGTCTTCGTGAGTTTTCGCGTTACAATCATGTTAAGATGTGTTTACCAGACTACATTTTCCGTGTTTAGCTTGTACTATTTGCTTCAGGAAAATGTCTTATGTCTATCATACATTGGTGAAGAGTCTTTTAGTAGCACTGAGCAACAATACCAAGATGTTTGGAACGCGTTTCTCCATTTCTAAATGCGAATTGTTGCTTCAGGACTGGTGTGCGTCAACATCTAAACTAATGTTAAGGATAGAAGTGGTCGAACTCATCGACAGCTTCACTTATTTTAGAAGTCTGACCAACCCTAATGGGTTGGTGTCTGACGAAATCTCTGCACAGATTCAAAAGGCTCGTTTGACTTTTGCCAACTTATGTCACCGATGGCGAGATATCCATCTAACAATTAAGGAACTAGTATACTGCTCAGTAGTTTCTTCTGCCTTACTTTACGACTACGAAACGTGGCCATTAAGAGTAGAAGATACTCGTAAGTTACTAGTATTTGATCACAGATGTCTTAGAAATATTGCTCGCGTCTGCTGGGATCACAGGGAAGTAATAGTGAGGTTAGACCCAGGGTATTAAGGAATGATGGTAAATCAGTTGATGAGGTTGTGAATCTTCATTGACTGAGATGGTTGGGCCACGTATTACGCATGTCCAACCACTGATTACCACGATGCGCTATGCTGACTAGTATTGAAGACAAATAGAAAAAAGTTAGGAGCAGCCAAGCCAAAACGTGGCATCAGTCCATAAAGTCACTGACTTCTGGTAGATGCAGAATACTTGGTTGGTGTCCGCGTGACTATCGTAACCACTGTTTGGAGACTCTGGGTGAAGCGGTTTATAATCGATCACAATGTCGTAGGTGTTTACACTCTTTGTCTTCCCTTAAACCATGAGATTAGAATTAATTTATACTCTTCTTTCTACCAACTAATTCTTTCTCCCTGTATCATATCTTAATATGATATCTTCTCTTACTACCATTGAAGTAACTGCTTCTATGAATTTAATGTTAATCTTGTTATGCTAATGAAGTATGACGACTTGGAACGACGAATATGTGCCTGGTTCTATGTTGTAGATTACTGACTGACTGATTGTGCATTGAAAATACTGGTTGTAGTCTTCATACCTTAGCGCATAAAATTAAATATAACTAATCGTATTACTTTGTTTAGTAGATTAACTCAATCTTGCCTTCAGTGCTTAAACTAGATGATCATGTGAAATCGAAAATAATTTATCGAAGTTTTAAGCGACATTCGTAGAATATGTCCAAGCTACCAAAGTCGATGTTTCAAGATAGTGAGCGACACCAATTGAATTATCGTCTCTGCGCCCGAACACACGATACCGGACCTCTGCTTTATTAACATGGTGTTGCCACTGGATGTCAGAAATCCTTTGGAGACAACGATGATCGAACACAGAGTCGTCTAACATCCTCAAACTCCGAGAGGCCAGGTCTCACAGACATAGAGCAAAACTGCGTTCAGTGACTCGTTGTAGATCCAATCTTTAACAGCCAGACTAACATCACGAAGGCGCCAAAGGTGACCCAGATTGGCATAAGCCGCTCTGACTTTCATTATACGTGCATCGATTGATCTCATCACCGAAGCCACCATCAGCACTTATGCAGCTACCCAGATACACGAACTTCTCTTGATTGCTTTACTTTATTCATTAGACTTTGTCAGTTTGTAAGTTTTTTCTCACAATATTTTCTTGTCACTATTGTCTTATATGCAGCTTAAATACCCCATCTCATTTATCGTCTTAATGCCATCCTAGGTATCTTTTCTAACCATATATATATATATATATATATATATATAAATTTACGCTGGATTAAGCACTGATGCATTTTCCCGATTTATTTTCAGGATGTTGATGGATACAAAAATACGAAAAAAGAGACACATGGTGGTAGCAGTGGGAGTACTGGTGCAAGAAATAGAGCCGGACGAGGTCGTCCACCACAACACACAAATCATTCTACTATCGATAACCACAATGTTGGATCTCATGGGCGAAGTCGTGGTGGCAATAACTGTTCTCGAAATAGCATTGAACCCCATAATGTTCACGTTCTATCAGGTAAGTACAAGTCGAAAATTCATTTGTACCATGTTTTTTTTAAAAGTCTTTTTAAAATATTCATACTCGTTTAGATATGTTAGTATTTATTTTGATTTAAATTACTTTCGCTTTTGAGTTGGAGGCAGCAGCTGCATCTGGTAACTGCTGGAAGCTCTTCGAACTCACCCGAGCCACTGGCAGCAAGAAGTTTGATGTGAGTGAAACGATTTGTGTGGATGGTGGGGTACCAATCACTAACATCCATCGACGTCTTGGATGATGCGCGGAATTCTTTAAAGGGCCGTTCAACATCGATCAGATTGTCCAGTCCTCCGTGGCCGGTGATGACTGTTCTACCAAATGAGGCGAAAGTCCGCAAGGAACTCCAACTCTTGAAACGCTACAAATCACCGGGCTCAGGTGACTTACAAAGGTCTGAGGGCTAGAGAGTGTTCCGACGTCATGGAATAAGTCAATTGTTGTCGCTATCTTTAAAAAGGGTTCACGTCGTTCCTGTAACAACTATCGGGGGATAAGTGTACTTCCAATTGCATCCAAACTATTGACTTCTGTCATACTTCGTAGGTTGTTCGAAACCTGAGAAAGATTGACTCGCGAGGAGCAGGATAGTTTTTGTTCTGGTCGAGAATGTATTGATCATATATTCACCCTTCACCTAATGTTAGAACATCGTCATATTTATCACAGGCCAACAATCGTAGTGTTTCTTGACATCAGGACTGCCTTCGATTCGTTGGATAGGACTGTTCTCTGAGATTGTCTATTGAAGTAGGTTGTGTCTGAAAAGCTTATCAACATCTTAAAGGTCCTATATACAAACACCTCAGGCAGAGTGAGGGCATACAACCACTTCTCTCCATTGTTCCATTCAAGCTGTGGGGTTTGACAGGGTTGCTCGATCTCACCATTCCTCTCCAACTTTGCCATCGATTATATTCTGGAAACAGTTCTGATGGATGTAAGTAATGGCGGTGTGGATCTGTTGTCTGGAGAACGACTTCTCGACCTTGAGTATGTGGATGATATTGTCTTACTGTGCGATAATGCCCAAACCATACAATCCTCACTTATTCAGTTGGTAATCAGTTTCCATAGGTACGGCATGTGCTTTGCACCTTCAAAGTGCAAAGTACTTCTACAAGACTGGCAGGATTCTAATCCTATACCCACTCTGGGTGGTGAGCAGTTTGAGATAGTCGAGAAGTTCGTGTATCTGGGTAGCTGCATAAGTGCTGATGGTGGCTTGGGTGATGAGATCAATCGATGCACGTATAATGAAAGTCAGAGCGACTTATGCCAATCTGGGTCACCTTTGGCGCCTTCGTGATGTTAGTCTGGCTGTTAAAGATTGGATCTACGAGTCACTGAACGCAGTTTTGCTCAATGTCTGTGAGACCTGGCCTCTCCGAGTTTGAGGATGTTAGACGACTCTGTGTTCGACCATCGTTGTCTCCAAAGGATTTCTGACATCCAGTGGCAACACCATGTTAATAAAGCAGAGGTCTGGTATCGTGTGTTCGGGCGCAGAGACGATAATTCAATTGGTGTCGCTCACTATCTTGAAACATCGACTTTGGTAGCTTGGACATATTCTACGAATTTCGTCCCAGAGAATTCCACTTCGTGCATTATTTGCCGACTCTGGGACTGGTTAGAAAAAGTGGAGTGGAGGTCAGTGTATGACATGGTGTCGTGGTATGAAATTTATGTGGTATGTGATTTATTAAAAGGTTTCTTAACACTGATAAATTACACTTTAGCTTAATTTGAACAGACAAATACAAGACCACTAGTAAAAGCAAACAAATATTCGTTCTTCTCATATGCTTAATTGCTCCCGTTGATACTATTTTTGTAAATTGTGGTTTCTATTCTTTTGTATTTGTAAGAGTATATCTGCTAGGCTTGATAAAAGGGTAGATAACTACATGGTAGAGGTTTGCCTTGTTTATGTGGTCAATCAAGCATCGCCTGTTATGTATTTTATTTGAAGTTGTGTGTTCTCCTTAATAACGAGTAACAAAACAAATGTCTGTGTACAATTAAACGTATATCGGACATGGCTCGAAATCGATCACAATACTCTCACCATCACTGATACTACTGTCGTTCCACCTACTTTATTGTTGATTCTTCTATGCTGATATGGTGTGACGACTTGGGCCTACACACTAGTGTGTCAGGTTTGGCGTTGATTATGACTGACTGTTTTCTCATGAGCTATGTTAATTCCATGAAACACATTTTTATCATCTATTTGGATGTTATTGGAAACATGGTTTATTACAGATTGCTTAGGTTACTTATTAGTAGTGTAATTCTAACAGGCTAAAAAGTTTATTTCAGTCTTTGTTATTGTCATCGATTTGTTCTTAAGTGCAGGCTACATCGAAATTTTTTCTCCCTTGAATCTAGATGTCAAGGTATGTGAACATGAAACTTTAGTTCCTACGATCGAAAAAGAATCACGGTTTGAAGATAATATAACAAGTGAACCTGGAGTCCATGTAAGTGATATTTGTATAGCTTTCTTACTTTTTCCAGGGGAAAATTTCTCAATAGGTTTATTTAAGTAACTCAGTAGAGTTTCCATTTGTAGGTGGGCATGTTATGCTTTAACACATTTCTTTATGTTCTGTAGGACAGGATGGTAACGTGAACTTAGTAGTTAATATTTTCTGATGTTCAATGTTTACGATTACCATGCTGTTGGAAAATATGTTACTGCCCAAATTTCTACCTGGAGATGAACAAAATATCACTAAGAAACTTTGTTCCAACTTTTACGGGTTTTTCGTTCTTTTAAACAGGCAACCGTTTCTTCTAATACTAATTCTCAGTGTGCAGAATCTGTGACTGAATCAAATAAGCTGGCTCAGCCTCGAACACATCCAGTAGTGGTTTCCAGTTCTTCAACACGCATCAAGGATTTGATTCACTTTGCTATTGAAAAAAATCTTACCAAGGTATTATTTTGGGTATATTAAATAGTAGTAGTGCATAAAACTATTGTTACGATAAGCGATTTCTAAACAAAATATTTATCTTCACAATTTTAGTTGTCGCATTTCGTTTCATAGACAAGCCTTTATTATGATGTAGATGTTTCTCGTAAATTTCCCAAAGTTCTAATGTGAGGTCACCAGCCGTCAAAAGTCTGTAAAAGATATTCCACTTCATCTGAGTTAGAAAATTAAATATGTCACATTTTTCAATAACTGTCGGTTATTTAATTCATATGCGGCGAGACTAAAGAACATGGACGAGCCAATCAAAAGCTTTCGCGGGCTTTCAAGGTCACGGCGCTAAGTTCGGTACCTGACGCTTACGTACGGTCGGTTTACAACAGATTTTAGAGAAAACATGATAATTAAGCGTCTACAAGAGAAGTGATCATAAGATTTTAGCGCAAAATTCAATTATACATTTCTATAAATAGAGTTTTGGCATTATAGTTGATGTCAGTTCGTGATGAAAAACCTAAGTATAATTCCTAACCTTAATCAAGAATGTAAATCATAATTTGAATTCTTCACACAGGTTTATAACCCTCATTTAGTCTTAGTTATTATGTGGACACTCTGAGATTCACTCTAGCGTCGCTCAAAAGGCGTCCATATTTTATAGTCTCATCCTTAACCCTAAACCATACCAACATACCGACAACACTAAAACTATGTGGTCGAGACTGAAAGAATTTTTGAGACTTTTTCATGGTTCCAGAGGTCGACTACTATGGAGCCACGTGGATGAGTTCCTGTGCCGGATGCACTATGATTTTAGAACTTCTGAACCTATATCTGACCTTGATAAGTATTTGAGTCATGTAAAAGAACAGTATCCCCTTTAATTTTTGAGTTTTGTATAATATATTTTTACTGTATACTAACTGTCTTCTGATTGGCTAGTATTTCTCAAGGTCATTTAAGATTCGTTCAAAGGTCGTCCATGTTCTTTAGTTCCGCCACAAACTGTTGGTAAATAGCTTAAATATAAGAACACAGATATTTATAGACTAATCTATTCGATTTACAACAAAGTGATAATGACTTACCCAACAGAAAAAGTTCATCGCGAAACTGAATACTTAGACATCATACGACACATCTCAATCGACCTATGATCTAACCTGTTAATAATAAACTGTAATATCTTAGTCAACTGGACTTTTTAGCTACGAAATGTAAAAACGAGTATCTTACTCTTTTCTTTGGAAAGAAAGGGCGTATTTACGTTAATATACCAATATAATCTCTTATTAGTCACGATGTCTGACGAAAACTCGACAGGGATTGAGAAAGCTCGATTGGCTTTTGTCAACTTTCGTCACTGGTTATGTAGTTGACATATCTGTCTGTCAACCGCCTAGTTTACTGCACAGGAAATCGCTCTGTTCTACTGTATTGTTGTCAGGTATGTATGATCACTCGTAAGTTACTGTTATTCGACCATAAGTGTCTCTAAACCATTCGTTTATTTTGGAGCCACCAAATGAGCAATGTTCAGGTCAAGCATAGGGCACTAGGTAAGAATGACAAGTCAACTAAAGAACTAGTGAGTCTCCACCAACTGAGGTTTCTGGGACATGTGTCTTTATCCTCAACAACCATCTACTTCTATGGATGATGTCTGGTATAGAATGAGGTTGGAAGAAAACTAGGGTTTACCAAACCAAAATATAAGATCAATTCATGAAGGAATTGACTGTTGGACTTAACCATGCGAGTAGATGCAGATTTTCTGCTCGAGGTTCACGTGACGGTTGTAACCAATGGATACAGCTCAGACTCGGTTGCAATGGCGCAAATGCATTCATTCGTTTTTCCTTAAAACTTGAATCCCAAAGTCCCCTATATAGTTACAGTGTTTACTATGGGAAATGTCTTGTTAGTGTTATGTGGTTGTGTTAATATGATGTATCAAATTGGGCTGTTGCACATGAGTATTGTTATATCTTGTATATGAATTACTGACTAGAAATATTAATAAACACTGTGCCACAGAGATTGTGCAGATTATGCTAGTTAGTTTCGTAGAAACCCGATGGTTTTATTCAGATCATGTATATGTTAATTTAACTTTTAAATCTTATATTATTGAGCACTATTAAACAGTTTCATATTATTGTGCGGGATTATACTTCCATGATAACTGTTTATAACCCAGTGATGAATCAGGTGTTTTTCCTTACAAATTACGGACGACTTGTATTTTAGATTCGAAATACTTTTTTGAACGGCACGTATTTGTCTTCTTAAATTAAGCCATTTATGGAAAGTCAGTTAACTTTCGGTTAATCTTTTTTACCGTTAACTGATATATAAGCTGAGAGATCGATAGAAATATTCTACCGATATGCTTTCTAAAATCTGAAACTATTTTGTTATGTAAGTGTTATTTTAGTTACTTTACTATGATTGTATTGTTTTATTACTGTATTTTTACATCAGCCTCCATCAAGTGATAATCAAGTAAACACAACTGAAACTTTGCCTTCCCGTATTTCTTCACTAGGTAAGATATTTTTAGTTAAGGATTTTCATTGGGCACTTTTCTGTACTGTTACGTAACGTATGCTCTGCAGTTTCTGTTTTTTTTTAAAACGAAAATGTGATTAAAATGGATTTTATTAGAGGACTTTATCTAAGACGATATAATTAGATAATAAGTACAAATTGATAACTTGTAAAAGGTAGACATAAAGCACATTAACGTTTTTTTAATAGTTACAACCCAGGGTTGCTTCTTAGATTGTTGTGCATTCGCATATCTTCCACTGAAAATGTTTATTCTTTCAAGTAACCTATCTAGCATATCCATCACTCTATTTTGATTTCACTAGATTTCTGCCCAGTTTTATCGCTTAACATTTTTCGTAATCGAACAACACACATTTTCAAAAATAAATTGCTAATTACTATACATTTAAGTAGGTTTTTACAAGGTTACGATTTCTTCGATTAACTAGTATCACTATTATTAGCATATTTTATATATATTTTTTCTATGTAACTCATCAAGTGGTTTTATCAAATTGACTCGGTTTTATGTATTTCTATGTTTTACTGTTCATTTTTCAGATGTAAAGAAATTATAAGTAAACCTCATAGTTCTAACTATAACACGACGTTTTGGTTTGTGAAGTAAATGATCTGATATAACCATTATGTCAGAAAGTGCTGTTAACTTCGCATATTTAAGTTTTCCATAGATGTATCTGCTCATCAACAAACACCTAACGCTTGAAACACTCGAGTATCAATAATTAGGTAGCAATTCCAAATCTATTTAAGTTACTGAGTAGTATCACTAGTCCTTATAAAAAAATATGGCTTAAAACCGAAATAATATGTACTTGCTTACTGAATTACATTTATTAAAGATAACTCTATGAACTTCTAATGAGTTTAGTTTGTGTTTTATTTCTTGTTGGTGTTGATAATGCATAAAATTATCCAAGCTTAGTTATAATTTTAGATAATAAACATTTTCGTATTGATAAACGATATCTATAATTTATAGGTCCTAGTTCCTCTCAATCTACTTCAAATAATATGGCAAATGTAACTAAGCATAATAAGAACCCTTCAACTTCAATTTCAACTGTGACTCCAAGTTGTCTCGTCTCTAATCATATGATTACAGATAATTCAGATACATCTATTGTTTTTCCATCGACAACAGCAGCTGAAATTTACGCAGCTGCTGCACGCTTTGCAGCTGTTAGCGCCAGCGTTTGCGGAATGGTGAGTAGTATGATTGTAACTACATTTTTATATTACCATTAAATCGTTTAATTGTAATTTATGTCTAACCTGTAAAAGTTGTCTACTTGGTGACACTCACTTGTGTACGTTTATGTTGTATTGTAATCAATAACTCACTGTTATGTGTGGTATTCAAAAAACTGCTAATTCATTTCTCCATTAAACTTAGTCGTATTTTTTTAAAACTGTTTCTTTGTTTGCGTTTATAGCGGGCTTAGTTTAGATTACTTTCTTTGAAAGAATAAATATAAAAAAAATTGAATAAAATATTAGACGTTTAATGACAATCATTAGATTCCTATCCTATAACATCAAATTATTTCACAGGTTGCTATTACGTTATATTTTTCCGCATTACTGTTACGAAAACCGTTGAATTTCCTAACTGTTAGTGTATTTCTTCCACTTATCTTACTGAAAATCTCGCTCATTCACGAATTGAATTTAACGACAGAATAATTTGAAATGTTTTCAGAATACTGATCCTTCAGTAACGTCGGTTTCGTTCACGGTTGATTCTTCCGGAAGTCACAAACTGGATGTTAATAAGTCATTTCTATCTACTGCTTCCTTGTCAAGCAACCTACATCCAAAATCAGAACTGTCTGATTTTGCTAGCGTGGATGCAGCAAAAAAGTGGATGTCTTCATTTGTTCCATCATGTGGTTCTTTAAGTCTTTCTCATCAAACTTCTGATAGTCGTCTGATGGATCCATCTGCTTCTAGTAAAGCAATTCTTATAGGAGATTTTCTAACTGCGCAACAACTTGGTCGTGCCGATTCATCTAATTGGAATAACAATCACTCAAATTCACGCCAAGGTAATGTTTTTTTATTTAATCAGGTCTATATGGCTTTCAATTAATCTTGTGTTTTTATGTAAGCTGTCATTCTTGATGTATATTGGAGTAGTTTATTATTTGTTTACTTTGGGAATATGTGGGTGTCGGAAACATAAACAGTTGTTTAAACTTAATTTTTATGACCTAATCAACACAATGCACATACTTTTAGGACAGAAAACCAATAGACTTATTGTTCTAGAACGAAGTTACCGTGTTTTCTGTATATCATTACTAACGTAGATAATTGAATAAGTGCTTCTGGTGATGTTTCTCATTATCTATTTACTGAGGTTTTCATTCAAAATGCTAAATTATTCATCATATCGTTTGGAAAGAAATAAAAGTTCTCAGCCGTGAAGATTTCACTTCTTTTTAAGATAGGCTTTCTTTGGTTGAACATTGTAACTTCTTTATATAACGCCTATCTTCGACAGCAGTCATCGTTGAAATCCTTAGAGAATATATATGCATTACAATCATTCGTTTGTGAATCCCTTTGGTACATTGTTTGGGTATTTCAGAACTACCGAATTAACGATGCAGAGGTTAGACTCAAAGTATTAGATGAAATTGGCAATCGGTTTATAGTGTAGTAAGTCTTAAACTGCTATGGTTTTGGACATGTGTTACATATGGCTAACTATCACCTACCTCAGCGCATAGTATTAACTGGTATAGAAATAGCCTCATAGACAGTTAAGGGGGGTCAAATCAAAGCTTAGTACGAATTCATGGTGTCATTGGCGTTTGGGCCGAACTGTAATGGTAGGTTCAGACTACCAGTTGGGGTTCCGGGTGATTATCGTAATGAATAACTGGATGATGTATCTCAAAATCGACTGCAGCGCCGCAGATGCACTTACTCTTTATCATTCCTTAGATCTTGAGTTTCAAAATTATCCTAAACTTTTAGTTTTCATCAACTTGTTCTTTCTTGAATTGTATCATCTATATTTATCTTTTCAGCTGCTACTGATACTATTGATGATTCTACTACATTGAGATTTGTCTTAGTAGTTTTGTCTCGCTGTGTCGATCTGTTATGGCAGCTTGAACTGATGCACATATGCTAGATTCTACGTTGCAAATGACTTGCTGGCTTGAATTAAGATAGACAAACTAAGGTTTGGATCAGTGACTTATATTGTCAAAATTAAATTTCTAACGCTAACTTAGTTTTTTAATTCCAACTTTCTGTACTTCGTCTAGACATTAACAGAAAAGAAATAAAAACTATTGAATTAATACTAGGTCTAAAATATTGAACGTCTCGATAAATTATCAACCATCAAATGAATATAAGTGATGGATTTATTTTGGGTTCTCAAGTTTTTATTAAGGGAATTCTAGTAAAATATTCGATTAGTCCCTCAGTTTGGAATTAGTTTAGTTCCTACAAAGTTTCAATAAGCATGCTAGGATCATTATAAAGATAAAACAAAATATCCAGTGAACATAGGAGTCCTTTGATTGTTTTCATATATATTTTAGGGTCCTTTTTGATTAAAGACTCTTTGTTGTGTTGTTTTTTTTTGAAAAAAATTTAGTTCTTCGCTTAGATATATTTTTATCATATTTCTTTCATACAGCTGATTACACTGGATCCTATCAAGTTTCTAGATCTGTTGATCCATCTACCTTACCTGTCTGTGTTAGCCATAGTTCTAAGGCCTATGGAAATTTTGATTGTCATCCGGTATCGGATTTTCGAACATCATCAGATGTTTCTGGTAAGCATATATTTCCTCGTATTAGAAACCAAGTTTTCTGAGCTAAGTTAAAAATATTCTTTTCAATAAATTCTCATCAGATTCTACATTTATAAATCAAATTAATGTTCCAAGGGATTGGCCAAGTTTAGCACAAATACGTCTTTTGGGAATTACAAGGTATGAATTCATGGTTGTTAGTAAAATAAAATAAAATTCCTAACGTTGAAACTTCTAGTATGTAATGTTATTTTACAATTCTAAAATCTAATAATCAAGATAAATACAAACAGCATAAGGTGAGCGAAGTAACAAAGTAAATACAAATTATATCAAATGTTTAATAGAAGATTACGGAATGTATAGAATGATGATATGGATTAAAGAAATAGTTGAGTGGGATTATTACTGACTAATTATATGGTAGATGACTACAAACAATGGATTCATGCTTTCTATATGACCCGTTTGAACTAACTGGGCTAAGATACAACTGTTGTCCGTTCTAACTGCGCCTTCACTTAGTCACTTTGGAAGGTGTTCGCAACACGGATATCTGAATTCTTAAACTCTCTAGCGATGTAATTTCCTCTACTGGAGCAGTTCGTTTGATAAAAACATGAAAAGGTGGCTGATCTAGTTGTTGCTCACCGAAGTTACTTGAATACTGTTCTAAGACATTTCCAATTTCAAAGTAGTTATAATCTTGTTAAAAGTCACTGCATAGATTAAATTTTTTTCTCCGTATTTTGAGAGTTTCAGTACAAACGTTCACTTTGTGTACGATCTTATTACAAATTAACCTTATATTATTTTTCTGACAAATTTTACTGGCTTTTATTTTTTTTCCTTTTTTAATAGAAAAATGTTTGGGAAGTGATATCCTTGCTGAACATGCTATAAGGTTGGCTATACATGCTAAAGCTGCCGCAGCAGCAGCTGCTGCCTCATCATCGGTTAGTCAGTTTGACGGTCGTAGTTCGTCTGTTTCAGAAAACAATTCCATTGGTCCAGAACGCTGTGTATATTCACCTCTGTCTCCAAGTCCTGTTAAAGTAACCTATTCCTTTTGTTTATAGCTATCCCCAAGTGTATGGTTTCATAGCAATATTTTCTAGTTAATCGAGGGATATCTCTTTAAATTTGCGTAAAATCTCAAAAATATGTCTAGTTTTGTATCACTTTTTTCTTTTTAGACTGATAGTTTGTTGCCACCTGCGAACCATCCCACTCCTCCTTGCCAACCTAATTCACTTTTGGGAGTACCAGTTTCTAGAAATGATTCCAAATACCAATCAACATCTTCATTTTCTCGCCAGCTAGATAATAGTCTTACTTCTATATGTTTCAAAACAGAAAATGATCCTAACGTGTCTATAAATTCAGATCAGGTGGCATCATTTATTGCAAACGCTAATAAATTATATCTAGAAGAACTTGGGTCATATACTTCACGTGATCGTTCTGATTCTACGCGATCACTGACTAGTAGCGAATCTTCTCAGTTTTATGGTGTTTTACAACAGTTACGGCAAAAAAAGGAGGAAAGTAATTCTCTCCACCTTCCAAGTACTTGTGATGTGTCTGTTACTAATATCAACATTCCAAACCTGAATTTTAGAGAACATCAGTCGGAATATACAGGTATGTGTCTACCACGTCCACATTCATCTGAAGGTGCCGGGAATCATACATTTGAATCATTCATGAAAAGTGAATTATCAAGAGGAACTCCATCAAGATGTTTAGTAAGATTCTTTTCATAATAATGTTATCTCTTCATTCACTAAATATCAGAATATTTACAGTCATTTTTACTTGGTAATTACTGATGCTTTTTGTGATTTATGAATTGGTTGTGTTTATAATCTTGCTAAATTAATCTAATTTTAACAGACAATACAATAGTCTTTAGCTTCAAAAGTAATATAACTTTAAAAAGATTCGAGATCACAGACACTATGTGTCCATGCTAATTTACTTGGGAAAAAGGTTATTACGTTAAATTATATAAAGTTCTTAAAGCCAAATTTTTGTAAGGTTTTAATATGTATTGACTAGCAACTTCTCTAATGTAAGTTATGTGATAATTTCAGTATGTAGAGGTCAATTCCTCTATACCTGACTCCAACAAATAGTATCCCGTTAGCTGAGTGTTTACCGCATACTAAATCCCTTAGTAGTATTATGAATTTATTCGAGATTATTCAACAGCCTGAACATCAGTTATAGATAATTTGTGGTTAAAGACATGCGTTCAATCAGACCCACATAATTTTACATAGTGGATTAAATGTCTAAATTACAGTAAGCAGACAAATAATACAATAGTTCAATGGGCTTGCTACGAACTCTGTTCTCTTTGAAATGAGAAGAATTTGAGTTTAGTGCGTGTCTGTCTAAATAACACACAATGGAGAATAAAAATATGCTTAAATTGTATTGTTTTTTTAAATTCCAAGCAACTCGTTTCGGTGTAATTCAAGTTATATAGTTCTATTACCGATTCTCGTTTATCCGTTTTTTCTGCGAAAAGGACAATCGTTTTCGTAGGGATTTAGAACTGTGTATCGCCACTAAATTTCAACTAATACTAGTATAAATTCCACTCACTTTTAACTTATTTGAGTTTTCTTTACATCACACTTAATATACTTTAACACTATTGATATTACCAAGCTGAGTTTTTTTTCTTTAATGCAGGAGTGTTTTCAATTATTTCAATCTCTTCATTTCCAGTTAAAATTTGTCATTTTTCTTCACAGATAAACTTTTCTAAACACCAATTACCTTTTTATTATTTTTTTAATTTGCTTGTTTATACACTCAGCCGTCTAAAGTCCAAAACGATCGCATACAAACATCTAGTCATCCAACTGAATCGGGTCTCAGTCAATTTGTATCGGATTCCGTCAACTCGGTTAACAATGTAGATTCTCATGTTTCTTCTAATACAAGCAAACATTCGTCTATGCATGTCGGTTTGAATACACTAGAAAGCCATATTAATAAGGTAATGTGGATTTCTTTGTTTATTTTTAAACTTTTAGGTAAAGTGTGTTTGTGATATTCGGTGCTGTTTTTTTCCGTTTACGATAATCATAATTATAATCATTATCCACTAAATTGATAACCGCAAATTATACCACTAGAAAGTTATCGTTGCTTAGTTTGTAGGCGTCTTAATTTGCTTGCATTTCCCTACATATAAATAATTTCGTATTGTTGAACGTTTTTATTGTGTTGAAAACTTTAAACTGGTCTTTTATTATAATAATAATAATAATAATAATAATAATAATAATAATAATAATAATAATAATAATAATAATAATAATAATAAATTTTATAACTATCAAGTAGGAAATGTCAGGACAATACTTGTTCAATGAAGCGATTTCTCATAAGATAATCTTTTGCTTCAGGAACAATAAGTTATAACACACATCTTACTTCGTAAGACTAGTGAAATGGAATTGTAGCTCGAGTGCTCTAAACATTCTATTTTCAAATGTCGGTATATAAATTTAATGCTGCTTTTTCTACTTCTGTTTATATATATGATATATGATTTCGTTACATCAATACTGTACTTAGTTACATTAGTTTTGAGGAGAATTAGATATGTATTAGAAGTTATTTTTATCACAACTACTGTATTTTGTGTAAGTTTATAATTAGAACCATTAACGTTGTCAATATTCTGCGTCATTTCGTTCTTACATAATATTTTTGACTACTGGTTCAAAAGTTCATACACTATCTATTTCAGGCTATTACAGAGGAAATACGAGCGCAAACTATTTCAAGAAATTCATTTGTTCCACACAATATATCTTCTCCTCATCTACCTAGAACTCCATCGCCTATTACCAAACACCATTCTACACGTAATTCAGGTTTGTGTGCATTAGTTTTTAGAGATAACATTTATGTCTAATTGTTGATTTTAAATATATTACGTTTTATCTATAAAGCACTGTATTACTCAGCTAACTTTGGCATTCGGTATATATCTCTAAGCAACATTGAGAACATGGATCTGTTTACGTTACCATGCCACATTAGAACAGCAAGATGAAATTCCCAATGTAAATGCCCAGAATATTAGAATTCATATCGGTTAAAAAAAATTAGGCATAGATTAAATCCTCAAAAAAGAGAGAATTATTTGAAGGATAAAAGGTACAGACTCGAAAATCAAGAATGAATTTATCTGGGCCACTGGTCAGATTCTATCCCATCCAACGTCTCTAACTATAAGTGATTTTAAGCCCAAGTTTAGCATTTAATTTATTGCCACCTGACTAATATTATTATGTTAGTGAATAATCTATTATATTGTGAGTTATTTTATTTCATCTTCATGTATATGCATTTCACATGTACTCTCACCCAGTTACAAACCCAACAAAAAGTGAATTGTTGTAACATATTCAAATGATAATAATTTCATGCTAATTAAATAATAAAACTTAAGTCTAGTATATTATTTTGTATCTTTTATCTTTTTGTACCAGTCAGTCACAACGTAGAAGTTCGTACGTACGTACATCAGTTCGAGTTGCCATACCACATTAGCACAGAGATGCAGCTGTTGATTCAAATCCCATAGTAGTAGAAGTAGTAAGAGTATAAGCATTATGTGAAAGATTAGGGTTTGAAGATGTTATTGGAGGAGTATAATCCAATGAAATAAATTTGGAAAGAGAACAAAGATAGAGACATGAAGAATTCAGAAGATTAGAATTTGGGAGAACACAAAGAGTGGATGCACCTTCGCCACTGCAAACGATTTTAAGCCATGTCATTCAAAGTCTCTAACCATCGATTGTTATCATCTCGTGAATCCCAATCAGGTAGCCTACACCTACCAACATGGCTCAGTCCATTTATCAGTGACATCGTGGATTTGTGTCACGTTTTGTTCTGGCCGCCTCTAGCTTTCTTTCGTCCTACTCCCACACCATAAAACATTACACGGGGCAGTCGGTGGTTGGGCATATGTAACACATGTCCTAATCATCTCAACTGATGAAGTTTCACTACTTCATCAATCGATTTGCCATCCTTAACTAGTACCCGTTTCCTAACAACTGCATTGCTTACTTGGTAGTCCCAGGATATACAAGCAATCCTTTGAAGACACCTATGATCGAATACTAATAGCCTACGAATATCCTCTACTCTTATCGGCCATGTTTCAGTGCCATAAAGTAGGACGAAGCGGACTGTTGCTTAGTAAGCCAGTCCTTTGGTTGCTAGACGGATATCTCGCCTACGCCATAAATGATGCAATTTTGGGAAAGCTAGACGAGCCTTCTGTATCCGTGCTGAGATTTCGTCACACACCAGACCACAAGGGCTGATGAGATTCCCACATAAGTAAAGCGGTCAACACACTCAACTACTTCACTCCCTATCATTAGTTCAGGTGTCGATGCAACCCAATCCTGAAGTAAACTTTTGCACTTCGAGGGGGGGGAGAATCGCATCCCGAACATGTTGCTTATAGTGGTCAGAAGACTCTGCATTTTGTCGGCGTCTTCACTAAATAGAACTATGTCATTGGCACATTCCAAGTCAACAAGTGAGTTTCCCGGTGAAAGTTCAACTCCTGGAGATTGAGATGATGAAAGTGTTATCTCTAAAAGCATGCCAACGACAAAGTTGAACAAGAATGGAGAGAGTGGGTAACCATAACGAACACCAGTTGAGGTAATCAATTTTAATGACAGTTCGCCATAAGCTATAACTCGACCAGTTGTGTTCGAGTAGAGAGCCTTAATGAGGTTCATGTACTTCTTTGTTACTCCTTTCAGTGGCAAACACTGCCATAACACCTCACGATCAACAGAGTCAAATGTCGCCTTAAGGTCAAGAAATACTATGATTGTGAGACGTCATAATGTGTGTCTATGTTTCGGGACCTGACGTAGGGTGAATATCTGGTCTATACAACAGCCTGGTTTTCTCTAGTCTGCTCTTCACGAGCTTTCTTTAGGCGTCCAAGTATTATTGAAGCTAATATTTTAGACACTATATTAGTCAAACTGATCCCTCTGTGATTGTCACAAGAGGACTTTTCTCCTTCCTTACAGACTAGCTTAATCGGTGATTGGGACCAGTTAGATTGAATTACGTCCAGTTCCCAGATTTTACCTGAGATCTCAGTCAATTTCGCTGCTAGTTTTGGACCACTATCCTTAAAAATCTTAGGGGTAAACCTGTCAGGGTCTGCTGCTCTCCCACGCTTTAGATTTCCTATAGCTATTTCAACCTCGTAAAGAGTTGAAGGACTTACATTAATTTGTCATTTAGGTCGACTGGGGATCGTGGGTAACCGAAGTGTGACTGATGGCCAGTTTAACTGATTCCTAAAGTGTTCTGTTCATCTATGCAATCTCCTGAATTGAGAATGAATCATGTCAATCTTTTTCCGAGATAGTTTCTCTGACATTTGAGTTTCTTATACCGGTTTCTTTAACAAGTGTGAACAGTTATCTGTTGTTGCCTATTGCCACTGCCTTTTCCATCTCTTTTGCTTTCGCTACCCACCACTGTTCACGATCATTGCGTAGGCTTCTTATTAGCCTGCGCCAAGGTTGACTCCACTCCTCGTTATGTTCAAAGCCAGGTGGGATGAGTTTTCGAGCATCTATCAGTGCGGTAGATGCTGCCGAGATCCATTGTTTCTCCCTAACCTTATGGTTTACCGTACTAGCAGATATCACTTCTGTTTCCACAGCTTTTCGGATGTCATTCCACGCTGTCTCGGGGTAGGCCCAACTTACATGGCTTCCTATCTGTTTTTCTAGTCGTTTCTGAAATATATTCTTAGCTTTCTTATCGTTGAGTAAAACCCTAAAAGGTTTCCTTGCAGTGTCTTTCCTACGTCCAGTAAGACGCAGACAGATACGTGCTCGCACTAGAGCATGATCTGAATCTAAACATGTGCTCCAGAATGAGCGACAGTCTTCCATCGAGCCCTTCCATCGGTGGATGATAGTGATGTGATCTAGTGGGCTCCGACGTTGAGACATTTCGGGGTCGCCATGTCAAAAGATGTTTTCTGTAACGTTAGATTAATTTCTTGTTTGCAAAATAATGAGCCTATTTCCCAGTTATTATCAACAGTTTAATCTTACACTACTTACAAGTAACTAGAAAATGGGTATGTAAAAGTTTTCTGTTATTTCAGCATAATTATTTTGCTAAATTTTAATGTTACGTTTAGTCTGTTAACAAGTATATTTCATTAACATATGTAAAAATGTTTTGCCAATGATTGAAAATTTAGGCATTATATACCCTAAGCTTTCTTAAGCATATGTTGATTCGAAGTTTTTGAAATTAAGTCTTATCTTAACTTGTTGATATCGGAATTACTTCCACTTTTATACAAATAATTATAGATTCTCAGTTTCATTTAAATGTTCCTCCGAAGAAGCAGGATCGTTCCATTTCGCGCTCTCCCGGTATGATCAACTGTTCAGTGATATCAGGTTCTAGAGATTCTTTCAAAAATTCTACTTCTAAAATTCCAGTACCTGAACTTCTTACGGCGAAACTTCCTGCTGTTAACAATGAAGACTTTTTTAATAAGTCAAATCAAAAAGGGTATGGACAGAAGCGAAAGTTGTCTGAAACTGTTAAAAGTAATTCATTGTCTAGTAATATTGATTCTACAGTAGACCATTCTACTTCACCAGATGGCGATACAGAACCCTCAGGACCATTACTAATAGACTTAGCTGTAAGTTTTCAGTTTTATTTGTACATAACCCTTCAGGTTTATCAATGTTAAATTCAAATTTTTTACGAGGTCTTCCAATTTTTGTCTAACTTCACTAGTACTGAATTCTAATAAACATATATTTTTAATTCATTTAAACTATAAAAAAGAGTTATTAATTGTGGCACTAAAATGAGTGTATATTTTTGTGCAGTAGGGTCAGTTACTGTTGAGAGTTGAATTCCGTAAGTTGTATGAAATTTGAGTCGTATCATTGGGTCGTTTTTCGTACTACCTATGTATTCTCAAATGTTTCGTCACAGTTTTGCATGATCTCATACTTAGACATTGGGACTGTCAAAAGGTACTTTTCTGTTTGTTATTCAGCGTGAATCTCCTGTAAATTTAACTAAGTACTTTTACACACAGATATAATAATTGAGTTTGGAAACAAGATCGTTGGACAAAACAAACCAGTTAAGTTGCGCGCTCCATTGACTGGACTTGAAGTCTCAAGTGCTGACCAAGTCTTAATGAATCAATCATTTTTATTACACTATCAGTTTTCATTGCCTTAAATCTGTCTTTTTTCATATATTTTCTTTCTAGGCCTCTGATTTTTCACCTAAGGTTGTGTCGGGAGCAATGAATTTGCATCTTAAGGATGTTCCTCACTTCTTGTCATGCAATACTAGTTCTGATTGTATTCAATCTGTTAAAGAATGTGGACGTGATGATTCTGTAGATCGGTGGTCACATGCATACGGAAATCAGGACAGTATAGGTTGTAATCATAGTTCAACAGGGTTGCTAGGAAATTGTAATGTCGACTCTTCGGATTCAGCTCCATTAAACTCACTTTAAATGTCTATTTTGTTACTATGATTAAAGAAATATATTAATATATTTTGAAATGTTTCTATGGTTACATATGTACTGTAAGAAATGTTGGAATTTTAGTTTTTCTTTTTAACTAACTTAGTTCCAAATCTTCTTGTTTTAAACCAACATTTAAAATCAAATCGCCAACATTGAATTTCAGTATCATTTTTGATGTGTCCTATCGATTCATCAGATATAGTTTATTTTTCTTTTTTGCACTTGTGTTTTCTTTTTTGTAGTTCACATTTTTTTGTAATTTTTTGAATACATGTATACTCTTGGCTTACAAACAGTGCAACAAATTTTACTTTAATGACACATGTCTCTTATGTATATGTATGTATCTTGCCCCATGGACAATTTCGTATCCTTTTCCTATCTATGTGTGTTGTCCTAAGCGTACTCTATTCCTGCTTTTGAAACATACCGGTTTAATGTTCTGTTTGTATAAATCGACTTATCGCATACAATAAAAAAAGAGTGCATCAACGTATTTCGAGTAACGTATGCACAAACAAACAGATTACTATTTTACTGGTTTCATATTGTTATAAATTGTTAATCAGGTTTATAATAACAAACTGTTTTAAATGATTGTATAAAATAGAATTGTTCTAATGTTTACTCATACTAGTCGTTTTTTCTCTTATTTACGTTACTTTATAATCACTTGCCTTTTGTGTAGTTTTAAGTTCATGTTTGATTTATTTCAAAATTTTATTCAGGTTTCCTTCGAAAAAACTCGGTTTACTTATTTTCATTGTTATCCTGTGTAGATTTTCATGAGAATGATTATTGTTGTTATAAGTAGCACTACAGCAATGTGATTTCCTCCCTTCCATATTATTGTTATACTCGCATTTTGTTTCCTATATGACAATATAATTGTATTTTTATTGAACATGATAAGGTTGCAAATGTAGAATGCTTTCTGTTTACTGTAGTTTTGGTTGTTGAATCAATCTTGTAAGACATTTCATAGGTTTCCGTGTACTGAGACGCTTGTGGCATTTGCCTTAAATACCCCATCATAACTGTTTACATAATCAGTAATGGTTCTGGGATCATTTTCAAGTATTTAGATCAGTAATTGCAGTTATAGAACAACAAGCTTAGGAAATGAAATGGTTATCCCGGTCTACAATACATTCAAGGAATTTTCATTCTTGATAGTAGTTAGTCTAGTGTGAAAGACGGTCTTGTGAAGGTTCCCTTGAATTTTTTTTCATAAAAAATTCATATCAGTTGGGTAACTATCGAGAAACAAGACGTACTGGTCAGTTTTATATGTCACAACGGAATTATTCCGTATTGGTCAATTACAACGTAATATGAGCTCAAATCTAGTGTCTTTTGACGAATACGACATTTTTAAAACGCTGGATTATGGTGCAACAAATCATGAATCCACATGAAATTCAACTGCAATCAGTTGCTAATTCCTAAATTATGTTTTTCTTTGAGTGATGTGGAGTTTGTGAAAAATATAAAAAGTCATCAAAACAGTGTAAGATGTGATACACTTGTGCGTATATTTAAAGTCCCACTCACTTTTCAATGACATTAGTTAAAACCATTCGAAAGTAGGTTTATTAAGAATCACCAAATTAGTTTTACTAGTCTATCTTTATTTTAGCAAATATATTCTTACTGTAAACGTTTGACTGGTGTGTAACGTAACTAAGTGTATGCTTAGTACATGTAGTTACAGAAAACTTCTATACTTCGGTAATTTTTTTTGAAAGTGTAAATATTTGTCGATATGAAATCGTATATCGCTCTTACATTCTGGCTGAACTTTTCATTATCCCCTATACGTTATCAAAGGACATTTCGCGACGTTACAGTCTATGTAAAATCAAATATGAGGTTGAGTTAAACAATATGATCTAAGAGAAACCTAATGAACAATCAACTAGCTAGTTCTAGTATATTAGCTATTTAACTAACTATGTGTGTTTCATTTTTTCAAGATTAATCAGCCGAATGTACTTGGACTCTATTGTTAGTAATCGCTACGATATTCCAACCCAGTCAATGCATTATAAACTGAGCTACAGAGTCACTATGTATGCATATATAGCAACAGAAGCGGATAACTTGTATCCATAACCAAACTAAAAATCCTTACTAAATAGCTAGTTGTCTAGAATTCTATGGTGAGTTTGTTAACGTTTTGCGGTCTTTGACAGAGAAATTCTATTTTTGAGATGATACATGCATTTAAAGCGTGTTATAAAAGTGTTGTCTATTGAATGAAATAGGTATTGAAACACATTGTCTAGTAAAAGTTGGTTTTGTGATAGGTAGATAATTCAGGCTTTAGGAACTTATATTGTACCACAGTTTTAAATTAGCACCAGAATAAATGTGTATATTTTGGACAAATCAAGCTCAAGAGAACAAACCATATTGTCGGCACTTGTTATGCGGCTTCAAAATTAATTTTTTTGGTGCTTTCCTAATGTTATATGGTACTGAACTCTTGAAAAGAATGTGTTTTCTTCAATGCTATTAGCTTTGTAATAATAGTTAAGTGGCCTGGCTTCAGATCGTAAACTATCCTTCTTCCTGTACCTATTGCCCTGTTAACATTCACTCAACATGCTGAAGTAATTTGAAGGTTTCTGTGAGAGATATCAACCAACTTTGAGAAGCATCACGTGTTTTTCTCTGTAATTCTGTTTAGGATGCATTTTACGTAATTCAGCAAATATGATGTACTGATGACCATCAGTATAGAACTGTTCATATGGGCTTTTCAGTGTCAGAGACAGTAGTTGTCTTTGGGAGTAGTGTTATATACTGCGAGACGGATGATTCTGAAAATCAATTAAGAAAATTAGATGAACCAAAAGTGAACGTTAAGCTACTGAACTGAGAAAATTAGATAAAGGAAACTGAACTTATAGGACACGGGAAAACAAAGAAAGAATAACATCATGTGGAAAATCACAAACAGCACGATACAAAGCAAGCTTAAAGTACGAAAGGCCCATATAAAGAATTGCGCAGACACACAACGAGCAATTACCTAATATGTGGTTGAGCATACCAATCATAGTAAAACTAGATGAATTTGATAAATATAAACCCACTATTATTGGAAAATGAGAACAGACGACTAAATGAAAGGTGCGATTGACTGTTTTCTACCATTAAAGAGATGTATTGTCACTACAGAAATGATAATGGAAATAAAAAACAGATAGTTATGCAAGTCCAATAAAATACTGTCTCAAATAATAAAAAATATAAGGACGGCTGGTATGACATACCGTCTACAAAAAATAAACGTTTTTGATCAGAAAACTACAGTACATAAGACACTGGAGTCTCAATGAATGTAAAAAAGAACAAAATGCTGATGATTATCGTTATATAGTTCAAAAGTGGTCTGCGATCACTGCATATGAATAAAGAAAAAGCAAGATCGAGACCCTAGTAGTTGTGCCATGCCATCAATCAGTGTCCAGATAAGCTAACTGACTTCAGCAACCTATATGACTGCAAGAGGAAGTTGTGTTTATAATAACTAGTCATTCTGTTGTTTTTTAACTGAATTTGATCAATCGGTTTACGAGAGAGTTCGAACGATACAAATTTTCTTCAGATGCATTACAAACTGCCATTTCTTGATGAGAGTATAATATCTCTACATATTGAAAGTTATATCAATAATACACCCATATATCCTTAAGTATGTATACAAATTCGTTTAGGGTTTCGTCGACTTAATATCATGACTAAAAAACCGTAACTTCCTATCATTTATTTAGTCAAAATATAACGCTCAATTAGAACACTGGAAAAATGAAACGTTTATAAAACTATATTATGGAAGCCAGTGCATGGTTTTGTTTGAAGGTTTGGTTAAAAATATATTTTAACATATCTTTTTGTTCTGGGCTTATGTATATTGAAAGGTTATTAGGCACCGCTCTCTCAATAAGTGATCCAACTTACATCAATAATTGAAAACAAGCTTGTTATTATAGTTTGGTAGATGAGCGAAAATCTGTCTTGTAGTACAGCTTGAACACTGAGTGTTAGTAATACCGTTTATAATTTTAGCTATGGGCAAATAACCGTTTAATCAGAAATAATAAATGAACAAAGGACCTATACCCACTTATGATCCTTACAGTTTTTATATTATAATTATCCTTAATTACTTCGTTGTCACGTATTTTTCAATCTGCATTTGTTGTGTTCCGAACAGTTTATCCACAAATCGTGTGTCATATGACACTTCAGTTCTTTTTCACTATTTATGATTCATAAAGATTTCAATGAAAACTGCATATTAAGTTTTGCAGTACTCTAATAATCATAAAACCTCCCTTCCAACCGCTTGCATATGTAACTAAATATAGACGTTTGTGTCAAAATTGGCTCTGATGATAACTACTGAAGACATTGTTTCTAAGATAATTTGGCAGCTTTCACATACATTAACATATAATGCACCATAAATTGACTCTGTATATAAAATAGTAATGAGGTTTTCAACTTAGAATCGGACATAATATTAGGAATGAAATGTTTCTTATCAATGTTTAAACTCTTGTGGTTTAAATTAATTAATAATTTCATGGAGGAAAAACAACTATTCATACCCCAGTCACCAAACACTTGGGTTGATATATCTTTAAAACAAGAGCCTGTCAAAAAGTGTCAGATAAGGTAGACATTTGTGACCAAATTACTTTTTTACTTTGACGAAAGGAGTGATTTACGACAAAAAAGTTAGATAATATGCTAAGGAACTGCGCAATTATCTTCTCTCACAAAGTAATCGAACTACGTAACTACTAAACTCATCATAAACGTAATTGTTACTATTTTTTAATTCACTTGCTTAATAGGTCATCTAGCTGTCTCGCTATCTAATCAACTAATTTATCAGTACATTCTTCATTAAACAGTACGCGCCATGGAATTCTCAAATAATCAACTGTCGGCAAAATCAGATTTTCCAAAGTTTTAAGACATTACGACGACATTAGTATTCAAGCGAAAATTCCTTGATTAGTGGCAAATTACTGTTGGCCTAACATTCTAATTTATCAATGCAAGATCTTGGCAAAGTGTTCTATCTTCCATACTAATATGGGTTCAATTATAAAAATCGTTCGTTGTACGGACATATATAATTATACCGGCTGAAAAATTTTTATATGTAATTATTTCAGTCGTCGTTATGCTATATTGTTCATTTACGGTACATGCAGTTTTTGTAAATAATCATTCAGGCAGTCATCTGAAATAGTAATTTCAAGGTCCAGTTTTCGCTTTTTAAGTTTAAGAATTTCATTATCGATCTGCATCAGTTCGAGCCACAAAAATGAACAGTCAGAGCCACTAATAATCTTTCTGAACGATTTAGACGCATTTAGCAGTGGCAAACAGTTAGAACGGTTTGAAAATGAAGGAATGTAAAACATATTATTTTCATTTGTTGGCAATTCAAGGTTTTTAGAAGCATCGGTGAAGTACGAAGACGAAGTTCCATTCGAGTTTAATTCCTCCGTCAAAACGTCACCACTGTTTTCATTAAGATTTTTATACGACCCATTGGTGTCAGAATAGTATATTCCACTCATATTACAAAGTGATGGATTCTCAATTAAATGTTTATAGTTCGACAGAAAATCCGCTACTGCGTTTGTGAAAATCTGGTAAAGCAAACTACTAGTATTATCCTTCTGTAACACAGATTCTCCTTCATTATAATTTTTAAAAATTGTTACAGTCGGGTCGTAACCGAACATATTTTGAGGAGAAATATTATTGACTTTTTGAGCATCTCTTGGACTTGAATTTCGAACTTGATCATTTTCGTGTAAGTCTATACTGCTATTATAACCAAAAGATAAAGCGTTCCCATGTGCAAAGGCCCCGAATGATTCTATCGATGAGTCGTTGCCCAATTCACTGGATTCTGAAGGTCCACATGCTCGTTCTCCATCTTCTGAACTATGATCTTCTGAAGTATCCTCTAAAAATTTCGTAAATTCTGAATCTTCTTTCTCAGGTGTATAAGAAGCCATTATCTGTCGCCTAAACTCGCAGACTTCGGAGAAAATTGTCTTAAAATATCCTCGACTATTTTCGTGTACTTCTCCGATACCATTTTCAGCGAATTTACATTTTTCCATCGTACATGGTCCACAAGACAGACGTTGTTTAGCTCTACTGTTGGTTCTTTTCCACCAATTCCTGAGCTGAAATGGAGATTTGTGGCTGGAATGGGGAAATTTATTTTGTAACTTTTTAGAAATATGTTGCCATAATACAAACTTTCTGTGTTTTGTCTCACTATGACTGTTCGGAGACTCTATAATATTTGGATACTTCTGAACTTCCTCGAGTAAAAATCTCAGTTCTTTTTGTGTATATCTTTCCGACCTTTTTCCAGATTTTGGTAATGAGTTACCTGTGGAATGCTGCATAGATAACGATATGTAGTTCGGAACTTAAAATAACGGTATTTTGAAATTCAATTTACTGAAGTAGATAAACAGACAATGTTCTGTTGAAGGAATCATATAGTATGTGGTTGCTGAAAAATTACCTTAATATTATCGCTTTTAAATGTCATTTACATATTAATACTTGGAATCGTAATGCTATATGTGGGTCGTACGGTTAAGAATGCTTCTGTTATTTCAGTTAACTTCATATAAAAAGCAGAAGACGGAAGGTCAGCTACAATTTCTTTAGAAGAAAAGGTTAAAAACGAGAATTTTATAACTTGAGAGTAATCTCAAAGTTTCTAATATTACATATGAATCCCTAATCCCCATATCTTTGGGAAATATTTATCCGTTTTCAAAGAAAATTTAAGTGAAGTCGTTATTAAAATTTCTATGGAAATCATGGGAAAATTCTTGAAAAACTTCAAAATTTCAGCAGAGCTGCAGGAATCCCCAATGTCCCTAGAATTTTATAATACCATTGGAAAACCTGTCTATATTTATTGCAGGAACCCCGGTATTTCACATTTTTGCTAAATATTACCCCAGAATTTTCGACTATTTTGAGGAAACGTTCTACGTTCTGTGGTCAAAATTCAATACTTCATCGATTTTTGGGACATTCTGCACGATCTCCAATGGTCCCAAATGCCACATTCGGAAAACTTCAAATTTACGGCAACAGAGAAACGACTGGCGATTTAATTATAAATATCCGACAGTTTCTTTTCGTTTATTTTATTTTTTCCTTTAACTTCGCAACGTGAACGCTTTTACGAAGCAATTTAACCATAGTAAGTGGCAAGGATTTGTCTTTCGCGGTGAATCAGCTTTGCTTTAATTGAAAAGCGGATGCGTTATGCAGAAAAATATTTATTAAAGTTTATAATAGTAGAAACTATCTTATGATGCATAATAATAATGATAATTTATTCTCAAATAACAGTTTGTTACATGAGGTTACATGCCGGTTTACAGGCAAGATCAAATTGTTAAAGAAGTTACGATTTTTACTGTTGAAAATTACTCAGCTGGGTTGATATTTCATAAGTTATGAATGTAAATGGATTTCGTAAGGGACACGTCAATATCACACTTGGCGCACCTTATGGAGTAGGCGTTGCAACATACAACTGATGGTTGAGAATAGATACGTGCGAAGTTGGGGGCTTTTAGAAGTTTCGAACTTATAGCTTTAATAACGGTGTAGGACGAAGTCACCCGTGCCATATCTGTCTTCGGTGGAGTATCTGCAGGAGGCTGAAAAAAGTGCAAGAAAAAGGAAGGACGAAAAGCAGAGCACACAATATTCATGGAGGAATAGTTAATGTATAACCATTTAGTCTATTTGTCTGTTACTGAAGTACTTATAAGGTAAGAATATATTAATGTGTTAAAGAAAAATAAGTGGATAAGGAACTGTATAAATGAAGGTAGTTCAGAAGGAAGTGTGGAATTGTGGAATTATAAGATAAAGTATTGAAAACAGTATTCCGATACAAATGACTGTCTCCCTTTACTTTAGAAGCTGTTTGAACTCTTTTTTGTTTTCAGATTTTATAGGGTATGGAGTGGGCTTCGTTTTTAACCAATTGTCTAGTTTGCTTGTAATAGGATTACTCGGTAGGAAGTGGAACCAATTTAGCTTTTTTAACATGATTTAAAGTGGTATTTTTCATGAATAATTTCGCAGCAATACCGTTCTTCCAATTCTTTGCTATTACTAATGTGTATTGTATAAGTACATTAGGCTAACGTTGAACTTTCATTCACAGTGTTCTACAAAAAGAGAAGAAAGTTACTCCTCTGTATTACAAACGTAGTATCAAAAAATGCAAATCTTTATGGTAAACAAAATAACCTATTCTGTCACAACAATCATACAACGTATGAATCTGTGATGTAATGTAGAAGGTTAGCCACACATCATCGGTATAATGATGATGTACTGTGAGTGATAAACCTAAAGTCAGGTCTCTTCGCACTTGCAAAGCCAGCTGGAAATAAGATAGGAAATAATTATTTATAAAAAGTTTTATCGGAACTAAAAATAAAAAAGCTAACCGGAATTTAACCGAAGATCCAAAGTGCATTTGACTCACTCTTTCCTTGGATCGCCATCCACGCTTATTTACTTTATCTCTTGCGTCGTGTAAGAAACATTGGTTTGCAACATCCATCACTTTTTTCTGGATAGGTCACACTTGAGAACGGTGAACACAGAATATTGAGATGTGGCATAACATTGAATCGTTCAGTAGAATCTTTAAATACAGATTCCTGTTTTACTTTTTGTCCCATATAAGGTATAATTAATTGACAGTTCCGGAATCAGCACGCAATATAGACGTGTTTTGGTTGATTTCCGAAGATCATGACATACGATCTCAAACAATTTGGTCGCCTGAAATTTTATAACAAACTGTTACAACTTACGAATTGCTCACGAAAGTTTTGCTCCTCTAAAGAATCTTCAAATGTACACAATTTCTCAGGTGTTTTCACTTGTAGTGAGTAACTTGCAGTGTCTACACTGACGCTGTGCCTGTTCTTCACATCCACGAATGGCCTTTTGACTTAAGCAGCCAGTTTGTTAACCTCACTAGACAGATCACTTATTGCTCTCAGGATTATTTTGCTGTCGTCATTGTGCGAACTACTGGTATCCATACTATGTCAACGACTGAGTACAATTCGGACGGAAATAAGTAGTTTAGGAATGTACACCTAATAGAGAACCAGAATTCCGTTGGCCTTCTTTACAGTTGTCACTTACTTCCATCATCTTAATTACAACTCTGTCTAGCTGTTGCTTCATTGAAGAATGGACAGATGGCGACGTTTCGATAGTTTGTCCATGAAAACTTTTTTTTAAAGGAGCCTAGACTATACCGTTCGACGCAATCGGTGCAGAATGGATGTAATTACAAGAGGCAGTGGTCGATTCTAGGGCAGTATTGTTACGTTGCTGGAAAGCTACGATGTTGCCTGCTTCTTCTTCATCCATTGAACTGTAGTTTTCATTTTCAGTGATTGTTAACTGGTACTTCCTCAACTTCCTCAAACTTCCGTAAAAGGTCGATCGAGGGCAACCCATAAACTTTGGCAGTCTGTTGAATTTTTATCCCTTTCATTACGTTCTACGTTATCAGTCTAAAAAACAACTAGCTGTAGTCAGGCTGAACAGAAGCAGTAATCGAAATTGTGGGCAGTGCAAACAACCCACCCACATGACGAGATACCTTCAAAAAAGTTGTGAGAAATCAACGCTCCTATTTCTTGTTTCTATTTGACACACTTAAACGAAACCTAAATGTTGGTAACATAATTCTGGCTGAAGGTCGTTACCATATCAAAAATTATGGCGACACTATAATTTAGGGACGAAGCAATCAGGTATAAGGCAACAAGTCTTGGATTTTGGCAAGAAATTCACTCATCCATTTGCCTAATGTGAGTTACGGCATTATATCTGATGTCACTTCGTGATGAAAACCCTAAATATAATTCCTAACCCTAACCAGCAACTGTATATCATAATTTGAATTCCTCACATTTGTTTAATAACTTTCATCTGGTCCTTGTTATTGGGCGGACAGTCTCAAGGTCACTTAAGCGTTGCTCAAGGGTCATTCATGATATATAATCTTACTAGCATTACTATTAGTTCTAATTTCTTTTTAAAAAGTTTAAAAATGCAGTGGTTACTGTTTCTCCGGAACAACACTGATTTTGGGGTTTTCTCCTAACATTTAGAAATCTTCCAACACGATCATTGATCTGTGATTTCCCCCAAAATATTTCCAAGCTTTTAGAAAGGACGCTAGACTTTGGGGATTTCCCCAAAGCCGGGAGGTTGTGTCGTCAATAGTCGGGGAGTCAAATTTGTGCTTTATTCTCAAATATCGCTATATAGATAAACGTGTGCCCTATTTTATCCCATGTAGTTGAAACAATCTTCAAAATTCTGTTGTTAAGATTAATTAAACTGTTTTTTTTATACAAATCGACAAACTTCGCGAATCTGTTAATCATATGTTTCGCAAGATAGGCGTTTTGTTTCCTGATTCTTGTTCGACGTCATGCTTTTCTTCTTCATACTGAATTACAAACAAATCATTCATTCCATTCGAACTATTTATGATCTTACGGCATTATGTGCTTCGAGATGTAGGTTTTTATATATTTTCCGGAAGTTTTATGACATTACCTAAAAAACATAAAAGTATTTTCATGGTTTTCCTGAACACTTTCAAGCCCATTTACCTCTTAGTCTTACACTAAAGTTTTGAACATAAATACTACTGGCGAACTTAGATAATAAAAATATATGAGAAGACATATGTTATTATGTGGAGGAAAGCCTATCATCATTTTTTCAATGTAGTGGCAGTGTTTGCACAATTTTTGTTTTACTGTTTCAAATCATTTAGTGTTTCCATCTGCTGACATCATCGTACTTCAATTTTCTTTCTTAGCCGTTATATTGACGTGTCGCTTGTCCTTTAAAATTCGTAAGATAACCAGTTTATACCTATGTTAAAAAAACAATATTTTTTATCCTTTGAAAAACATAAAGACTCCGGGTTTGAAATGTTACTTCATTAATCTTTTTTTCTTATTTTGAGAAAACTAGTAAAGTTTTGCTCGTAAACCAAATTCGCGTGATCACCATATTATTATGATGATTCTGTTTGGCGGGTCTTAGCTAGTGGGCACCTCAATTAGTTGGTCAAGTTCAATTTATTTTCATAGTTGAAAGCGTGAGTCAATTGAAGCTAGATCATCATCGAAAACCTGGAAGCGATAGTGATCTAGCTTCAAATGACTCACGCTTTCAACTATGAAAATACTAAATCTCCACAAAACCCCTTCTGATGATCAATTTACTATGTCGTAAATTTATTTTTTAAATAATGTTTAGTTCAGCAATTCTTTTATTCCTTAAGGAATGAAAAAAAATTTTTTCAAGCACTCACACCACTCAAAAAATAGTAGGCTATTTTCATGTTGAGTCTGTCGATTAGTTTCTTTTTTCTTCGCTAGTCATCTTTAACCTAGTTTATTGATCTCGTTAAATTGTGTTTATAAATTGATGTGGCTGAAAAGTACCAACAAATATTACATTTGTAGTAAAACTAGTTTTTACAAGATGGGTGGGTCCCGTTTACTCACATTGAATTATGAGTAGAATAGGTAGTAAATGAAATTAAATTTGTCTATTCGTTGCTAAACATAGTAATTTTTAACTAAGTAATCGAATTTAATTTTTCTACGGACCCCTCCCTTTGAAAAATTAGGAATTATTTAAATCAACCATAGCCGCTTTCCATCAGCCTGGAACTTTCTAATAATCTAGATTTTAGCACCGACAGATCTGGGTTCTTTAAACACTCGATCTAAAAACTGAAAGCGATCTAGGTAATTAAGTTTCAGTTGACGTTTCGTGTAGATACTGTCTTTAATAGCGCCAAAACTTTTGTCAGAAACTTTTGTAATGTTTCGACCATATTTTGTCAAAGCTTTGTCTTTATGCGTAATGACAAGGGAAAAAGCTCTATTGATAGGTAACCCCAAAAACTGAATTTTGTTTGTTAGCATTTCACATTGGTTCCGACCATTTTAGTGTTACAGAACATCAGCCAACTGAAGACACTCGATCACGTATTCACATCAGACAAAGTTTAAACATGCCATGAGATGTTTCTTTTTCTGTAAATACCAGCGCAGAAGTTTCACATTACTTTGCTTTTGTATACAACCAAAAGGATTTTCCTTCTCAACCGTCATCCACCTTTTCTATATAAGGCTCGGGTCATTTTATCAGAGGAAATTTAGATCTTTAATGTGTTTTCGAACTTTGCTGTATTGGGTGTCTATAGAGCAGTTTTTAGCAAATTTATAACAGTCTCTAATGCTTAATGACAAATGTTTTTAATGTAACATACTGTAAGTTACATTTGCTTTTATATTGGGCTGTCGAAACTAAAATGACGACATAAAACGCTGAACATTATACAAGACAGAGTCTTTATCTTCGGCAATTATGTTTGAAAAAACTAGCGTTTCAGGGGAATCCATACATTTTATTTTTTACTTCATGTTTACGAGCTTTAGTAACGCTTTGTGACATTTTATGATGCTTCAGATTTTTTAATGAACTTATGATGTCATGATTTCTAATGCAATAATATATAAAACTTAATTCTTTCTTCATGGTACAGACATTACGATGCTAGACTGCGTAACACTAATGTCAAGCAAAATTTTCAGTTTGCTACTAACTGTGAGAAACGAAATTTGCTATATTTCGTTTAAAGTTTCCATGACCTACTGTTTTTATGTGCTAATCGCTATTCTCCACCTTTCTTTTTTCTGGATTGGCTTTTCTTACATATTTATTTTATATCTCATAAACTTATCGCAAACATATTAACTCTCATCTCTTTAAGGATTACTCTAAATTTGTGGAGTGCACTTTACCCCCCTTTAATTTTTTCTCCATTTGTTTTCTTTTCGTAAAATGTATTTTAATGACCGGATAGGACTCAGGTTAGTAACTGCGTTTTTTTCTTTTTTTGTAGGAATATATATCATCGACAAAATCATGATTCCTTTAAATCAGTCTTGATTTCTAGTTTTATAATTGTTTATTGGTTCAGTTTATGGTAGAAAAACAACGATTGCTTTCATTCTTGGAATGGAATAGTGTTAATCATCTCATTTTATGAATTGGAAAGTAGATCTATTACAGAATTCACAAATGTTGTTCTCACACCCCAAACTTTCAAGGATCTTCAAATTTATGATATCGTCACACAATAAACATATTCCGTAATGGCATTAAGTCGTCTTCCTCGCTTAATATCGGAGCAGATAATGAGCTCTCTACCACCAGTACATGTTTATGAAGTCCGCTGTATCATTGGGGAAGATCTTATAGATCAGACATTGGAATTAAAATCTGAAGTAAGCTATCATATATTGATGAGCTAGCTGACAGATTGTTTCTGTTTTGGAACTAGCCAACAATAACGAATCTTTCCTACCATCCTCTCTAGATTCTTCCAATTGCTCAGCTGACTTGGAATATTTCTCTTTGCTTTATTTAAACGCCACTGAAAAGTAAGTTAAATTCCGTTTGCTCAAAGACGATGAAGTAGATCGAAGCAAGACAATCCTTATCAAGCATTTGATGGTTTGAAAGGTGAGCTCTCCGGAAATTCCATTAAAAGAATTCAATTAAATAATTTGCCTTACTACATTTAAAACGTCGTGAATCATATGAAGATTCTTATATTTAAAAATGTTTTATTGTTGAATTCACGAGTTGACCTAAGCTAGACTATCGTTGAAAATCCTGAAGCACTGGACGGATGTTTCGTCCTAGTGTGGGACTCTTCAGAGATGCGCATCCACAATCCCGCAAGCAGTTAGGGTTGCGCAAGATCGCGGAACAATTGGAGTTAGAAATTAACGCCGTTGGATGCCGGCTCAGTGGTCTAGAAGTCAAGCATTTGCTTGCGAGACCAAAGGTTTCAGGTTCGAGCCCCGAAAGTGGGATTGTGGATCGCCGTTGTTGAGAAGCCCCATACTAGGAAGAAACGGCCGCTCAGTGCTTTCACGTTTTCAATGCTAGTCTAGTTTAAATTGACTTGTGAATTCAACCGTGAAAATACCACAATCTTCACAAATCGTCATGCTGAAAATATTTTATAAATTTTTTTATTTCAGTGATTTATCACTGAATTTGTATGACAGTTAATATATCAGATGTCATTATAGCTTGTCAGGGAAGTGGAGTTTCCGTGGTAATATTTATAAATGAGTTTTATGGTTTTAGTTTTCCCTAAAGTTACATTTAGTGATTCTACCATCATTGAAATCAACTTACTACGGACTGTAGTTCGATTAATAACAAAAACTTTGGTAAAATAATATAGCACACAATGATGAAACAATTTGAAATAGATGGATAATTTGGTACCATGAAACAAGATTATTACGGAAAAATTTCGGGATTTTATTGATTGTGACAAAGAGAAGTTTTATAACACATTTACAATGTAAAAAAACTTGAGAGTTTTAGTTTTAGTCATATATGTTCACTTTGTAAGTTGATTATATGAAAATTAAAATAACTCTTATAATATTCACTAGAAAATTTCTACATTGGAACGAATAAGACACCTAGCGAATAAAATGAATAAGAAATAAAAAATTTTCGAATTAAATAGAGCAATTCTCTCTAGCATCAGTGATGACTTCAATGATGTATGTTCATTACTGAGTTGTGACTCATGAATACAAACTCATCGCTTTCAATGATGTGGAAAGTGTTAGATTCTTATGTAATCTAAAATGTGTTAGTATATTTAACTTTGGTAATTGAAGCACTATGATGTGTTTAACTTTGTTTGGCTTATTTTAGACGAGCAATAAGGCGTTGGTTGCTATTTTATTATTTAAATTACACTTGTTATCAAATAATATACATATTTTTAACAATATGCAAAGTCATTAATTGCGTATAACTTTGTGTTGAAATTTTTTCTGGATTTTAGAAAAATCTGAACTTGACTATTACACTCAAAAAATAAGGTAATTATTTAATTGAAGTCAAATTTTGAGTAATCATTTTATTACTGTTACTGTCTCTATTGATATACAATGGTCCCACAATAGGACGAAACGGCCGTTCAGTGCTTCCAGGTTTTCTATGGTGGTCTAGTTTCAATTGACTCATGATTTCAACTATGAAAGTACTGAAATCTCTTCAAAACCCCTTCTGATACATAATCAGTTATTTAGTTTTTGATGTAATTGTTAGACTCTGAAATCAATGTTTTGACCTTTATTAGATATATAACTAAAAGTTTCAGAAAAAGTACATCATTTACTCATATCAGTTCAGTACTTTTTTATGCAGTACATAGTTTATAAATAATATATTAATATAGATTCTCTTATTAAAAACATAAAACGGATGGATTTCATAGCTCTTATTTTATTGTAAACATCAATACTAACAAATAAGTATAGAAAGTAAAGTAGAAAAATTAAAGCCAAAACTTTGTAATTATAAGGTTACAAGGAAGTTTTTAGTTTCAGTCATAATTTCTTAATTTTCCAGCTGTAGAAAATAACTGTTTCGAGGAATACAATTAGAAATTTCACAATCTTGTATGTAATTTGTAGAGAAAGCCAAGGATATTCTGCAATTATAGGTTGTATTCTTTCTCTAACCTATTTCGAAACTAGCTAGTATGCTACTTACCATAAGCGGTATATCATTCTTTATAGTGATCTTGTTCGATGGTGGTTCACAAATGTATTGGCTGAGTTTCTTAAATAGGAAACCTGGTAACTAAATGGTTCCGGCATAAATAGGCGGGATTTCGAGTATGATTATGGTTTACTAAGTGTGATTGATTTACATTATCCTCTTCCAGTGATCGCATCATACATCTGTAAAGTAACACGAAAAAAACTACTGTTCATCATAATCGTCTGAATAGTAATGTTATACAACTAGTTGCGCAACCTGGTGAAAACTAAGTAAACCATTTACACCCATGTTGAAGCACCAAATTTTCATTATGAGTGAGATTTATTAGGTGAATAATATTTTTTTAAGTAACTAGACATCATTTCAATAAACTGTTTAAATTTAAATATTTTAATGATTGATAATATTAGCTTATTTGTTATCTCTCACTTTTCTGTCGAAAAGGGAAAGCTTGGAACGTTAAGCAGTTGACTTAATCTTTGAATCCCATTATAATAATCTTGATAATGAAATGAAACAAAGGATCTGCGGCTAAACAGATAAAACAGTGAAATACAGAAAATTGAACATAACCTATTTTGTACATATTTTTGATAAAGTTTTATATGTTCGGCTGTAGAATATCCCACTTATTTTATTTTAGAAACTATATACTTGCAGAAATCTCATTTTTGAAAACGTACTTACAAAATATTCAGGTATGTTCGATTTCTGTTTGGATTTTCTGAAAACTAAGGATGCGACTGTATATCTTTTAAACGAAAAGAATTAGTTTATTATATTTTATCGATTACGATCACTGTGCTCTTCTTGGTTTTCTACCCTAGAATATTCATGTACTTAACCTAGAAATAAGTAAAGGTTTGAGCACTTTTTGATTCTTCCATAGTTATTGTCTCTTACTATTATATATATATATATATATATATATATATATATCCAAGGCGTTTTGAGTTTTGGATCACTCGCATTATTGTTTCTAAGTTGTAAACAGTCAAGAAGAATCTACAAACGGGTAACAGCAATTCTAGGAACTTGTTCCCGAACAGATTTAAGACTGTATTACTCAGTTATAAAGTCATAGACATCACAAGCGAGATACTTCGGTAGTAACTAACTTTAAATAAGAATGTATTAGTTACACCATTCAATTACTTAGTCATAATCAGTATTCACTCATCTAGTTTTTAGTCCTGATTGAACAACGTTTCTTAAGTTTATTTTAAGCCTGAAAGCCCCTATGCAAACATTATCTCTACAGGTTGGTCAGTATTAAGGACTGGAGTGTGTGACACAAATTACTATGTGGTAATCGATTCGTAGAAAATAGGGATATTTTAAAAACTTTAGCTCTTTGTTAGATTGGCGTAAGTCTAGGAAAGTGTTAACATGGATCTTCCGGGACCAAAATACACCACTTAAAAATTCAGAAGGACAATGGAACATGTAAGAACAAAGAGAACAGCTGACAGACCACCACCTGGTTGTGGTCAAGGTGAAACTGAAGCTAAAGAAACACTGGACAGCTGGCGGTACATCAGTACAAAGGTTTAATACAACCTTCCAACGAGATACTAATAGGCTCAACGAATTCAACATACCCCCCCATCAACAGGTCCAAAGTATTACAAGATCTACTGAAAAAAAGAAGAAATTACTATGGAGGACAAATGGAAAAAGATCGAAGAAGCACTAACTTCAAGAGGTTCTGGGTGGCAAGAAGCATTATCATAAGGAATGGGTTTCTAACAAAACCCTGGACGAGATTCAAGAAGGGAAGAACAAGTAGAGAGTAGCCAACAACAGCCGAACATAAGCAGAGAAAGTGAAGGCACAAGCTAAGTACACAGAAACAAACAAGCTAGTGAAGAGGAGCATTAGGGCTGACAAGTAGAAATACGGGAAACAGCTAGGAACGACATCGGGAACAGCTACAAAAAAGGAAGTACGAAGCAACTACTTGACACAAAGGAGAAACTTACTTGCTTACTTACACCTGTTAGCCCTTGCGGACGAGCATAGGCCGCCCACCAGCACTCTCTATCAAATTCTGTCTCTGACAATCCTTTCCAGTTGCTGTTGATCCTTTGCACACCTGCTACCCATTCACAAAGTAGTGTGTTCTTCGGTCTTTCACGTTTTTCACTTCTTTTTAGGATTACAAGTTAGGGCTCGCCTCGCGATGCATTTTGATGATTTTCGCAATGTATGTCCTATTCATTTCCAACGTCTTTTCCTAATTTCTTCTTCGGTTGGAAGCTGGTTTATCCTCTCCCACAGTAAGCTGTTGCTGGTGGTATCCGACCAACAGCGGACATTGAGTATCTTGCGTACATAATTGTTTATAAATAATTGTACTTTTATGGTTATGGTTATAGTGGTTCTCGAAGTTCCAGCTTCGTACAGTAGAACTGTCTTGACGTTCGTATTGAAGATTCTGATTTTGATATTTGTTGAAAGTTGTTTCGAACTCCATGTGTTCTCCAACTGTAAGAAAGCGGTCCTTGCTTTGTCAATCCTCACCTTTACGTCTGCATCCGAGCCTCCTTGTTTATCGATGATGCCGCCTAGGTACGTTAAACTTTCCACTTCTTTCACTGCTAGTCCATCAGGCGTGAATGGGTTGATTCTGACTGAGTTTAACTTCAGGATCTTGGTTTTTTTGTGTATATTGAGGTTTACTGATGCTGAAGCTGCTTCTACAATGACTGTCTTCACCTTCATTAGTTACCATATAATGGATATAAGGGGTAATAATGTGCGAGGCACAAATTGTCTAGCTGCATCAAAGCTATTCATTGTATTTCTTCCATCCCCTCAGACGTGTAGGTCTTCATAATCCACTCAGCCATCAGAATAACTAGAAAGAACGGGAGTAAGCAGCCTTGTCTGACTCCGGTCTTCACTTGGAATTCATCTCTCCTCTGTTCTCCATGCACGACTTCGCACTGTATTCCATTGTATGAATTTTGAATGATGTTGACAACCTTCTCAGTTACTCGCAACACAGTGTCGAAGAGGCTTCCATAATGTTCTCCTATCCATATTGTAATACGCCTTCTATACTCAGTAAAGTTGACGTATGGTGATGAGTTCTACTCAACTGATTGTTTAACGAAGATCTGTTGTATCGCGATTCGATCTGTGCACGACAGATCTTTACGAAATCCGGCCTATTGATCTTAAAGTTTAGTATCTACAGAATCTTTTATCCGGTTCAGAAACACTCTGTTGAAAACTTTTGCTGGTACTGACAATAGTGTAATTCCTCCTTAGTTCTCACAATTGCTCAGATCTCCTTCCTTTGATACCTTGATGAGGTATCCTTTTTCCCAATCTGTTGGTGGTACTTGTTTCTCATCCCAAATCTTTTTGAATAGAAGGTGAAGCGTGTTTGCAGTTGCTTCTACGTGTGACTTCAGTGCTTCAGGTGGTGTATTGTCAGGTGCTGCTGCTTTTCCACTGTTGATTTGTCTGATGGCCATCCTGATTTCTTCGATCGTCGATGGAGTGACATCTATAGGAAGGTTTGTGTGTGTTGCTTCGATGTCCGGAAGATTCAATGGAGTTGGTCTATTCAAGAGTTCTTTGAAGTATTCTGCCCATCTTTTCTTCTGTTCTTGAATCTGATTGATTGGCTCGCCTTCTTAGTCCTTGACTGATCTCTCTGGTTTACCACATTTCCCTGCTGGTTTCTTCGTTAACTCATTCTTTAGCTTTTCTATAGTCACTGCCGCTTCCAAGCCCGAGTACAAGAGGAGGGTTGGACATGTGGTCGGTAACCCCTATCCTGTAGAAATCTTGCTAAAAACATGTCAACCAGATTAAAAAAATAAAACCTGAAGGGAAAAGAAGAGGCTGACCAAGATACATGTTGCTCTGGGAAGTGAAGGCAGATATTAAAAGAATGAGTAGCGCTTGACAAGAAGTGAAAAAGGAGAACAGTGAACGGAGTTGGTTGGAGAGTCGTGGTTGACACCCTATGCTCCTCGACAAGTGGAAAAAGGGGTAAGTAACTAAGCACTAAGTTCGGACAACAAATCGATTGGTACTACTTCAAATAATAAGGAGATTTGCTTATTTATTAATATAGAGACATGATAAAGAGAAAATCGAAAAAATATTTTCCTTTGGACTATTTTTTTCAATGTAATAGAAAATAATCTGATATAATGACAACTTAGAATGAACTAAATGTTCAATTCAAAACTTATTGTTGTCTTTGAAATAAGTGGAAGAAATTGAATTGCAGTAAAATATATTTATTTTACAGAAAAAGCCCATGACTTCTAATTTCTCAGAAAGAAAATAAGGTTACTAAATGATTGGGTGAATTTGTATTGTCCTTCTTCTCTCGAGTTCAATCCATGTTATCTGTCACTTAGCATATACTCAGTCAAAGTCAAATTCTTCCAATATCCAGAATTCTTTATTCTGGATTTTGTAAACATGAGATTTTCTTGTTCATTGTATTATTTTATAAATTTCCCTGAATATCAAGTGTGAATAATAAATGATTTTGAATGATTTATTCGAGACATATGAAATATTTCCATAGTTAAGATAATGAGTCTGTTGAAGCTAGACCACCATGGAAAGCCTGGAAGCACTAAAGGACCGTTTCGTCCTATTGTTGGACTCCTTAGCAGTGCTCATCCACGATACAATCTTATGGACGAAATACTAAAATGATTTCATTTTAAACTTCAATCGACTCATGATCTCAACTATTGAAATTACTATAATATCCACAAAACCTTTCTGATATTATTCAACATATGAAATAGTTGAAAATAAATATTCATCTATTTATAGGTTTTTTATTGATGTCTGAGAGATATTGAATTTATTGTGTAACGACTCAATGCTCTAATGATAACACACTAACTCCCAGACCTCATCATCCTACATTTGATTACTGTTCGACATATGAATATTCACTGTTATTAGGTTTCATCTGATGATGATCATCCATCTCTGTTCAGTTTTCAATGGTTATGTAATTGAATTCAATCGGTTTTACCAACTACATTTTAATACAAACATAACATGAGTAATGTTGGGTGATTGTATGTGGTTGTTTTGTAGGAAACCCTATATGTGGATTTCATGTTAGTAGACAACATTCATCAGGACATACCTGAAACCTTGAGGGGTTGAAATCCACTTAGTTCACCCTAACTGTCTAAGACTTCACCGTCGAGTTATTCGGTTACCGACTGATTTTCTGTAAGACTGAGATATTTACTCTGAATGACTATTTATTATGGTTTTTCTTTAACTTACTACACTGTTAAATAGAAACTGACATTTATTTAAAAATTTCAAGCTTTGTCTTTTCTGTCTTTGACTTTTTAATTCTACTAAGAATTCTCTTTTGGAAAACTTCAGTACATTAAATCATGAACAGGAAAATATCAATCAAACCCTTGGAGTAGATTCAATATTATCCAAACCAAGAACAATTCAGAACAATTTAATAACTAACCAGAAACTGTCTTGTGGTTTAGAGTTCCTTCTTAGTCAAAATTCAATCAATGAGTTGCTTGACAATTCAAATGTTCCTTGTTCACCAATTTCTTTGTCAACTCGATCATCAATTGATACTTCCTCTTCTTCATCTTCATCCAGTAAACCTAAGAGAAAATCAATTCATTATACGTTGCCTCTTCATCAGAATTCAAATCATTGTACACAAACTCAAATGTTGTCTATAAAAAATAGCAAAACTATTACAAATAGTATCAATATCCCACGAAAATCAATAACTACTTACAAGTTATCCACCTCGTAAGTCAATAAAATAAAATTGAATATTTAGCATAAATAGGAACAATCATTTATAACATTAGGTACTTTTTGAAGAATTGTTTAATTTGTGAATATTATGCAATCCGTAATAAAGATCAGCTAAAAAATTATTAAAGATTACACAGAATTGAATAACTACATTGGTTTAGTGTTATGACGCTCGAATTTCTTCGTCTACAAGAATAGAATGCTAATTTGCCTTGGACGAATATCTACACTAGATTTTCTTCCAGTGTCAATTCTACAGGACTTGAACACAACTCAGATCAAAAACACGAGATTAGCCTGACTAGAACGTCAATATATTTCCACACTGAAAACCTATTACAAGCCGACATAATCCAATAACAATCAATAGTAATAATAAGGATAGAAGAATATATACCTCATCTAACGTATATCAGACTATCAATAGTCTGACTAATCAAATAACCAACAACAATTTCTTTTTTTAAAGATCTTTTAATAAGCATCATATCAAGATTGTGGAGAAATATCTTTATTTTACAATCTAGATTTTTATATTGGGATTGTCTAAAAGAATACTAGTGAAATGAACAGAACTATTAAATATGTTACGTTTTTTTGTAATAGTTAATTTGAATCATTGAATTTTCAACATGATTTTTATGTTTATCCTGAAATAGAACTTTCTTGAATTGCATTATAGGTGAGACTGTAATTTATGAACAACGCTAAAATGGCCTTAAGAGTGTTTGCCTAATATCAAGGACTAAATGAAGGTTATAAACCAGTGTGAGAAATTTGAATGATGATTTATAGTTGATAGTCGAGATTAGGAATTATATTTAGGGTTTTCAGCATGAAGTGACGTTAGATATAATGCCGAAACTTTCATTAACCAAATAGATGTATGAATTTCGCGCCAAAATCCAAGACCTGTTACCTTATACTTGATTGGTTTGTCTATAACTTATAGTCTCGCCTCATTATACATTCTTCACAATTGTGAATAAGAGAAATATGTTGTCTAAAACACTAATGGATGACATTGTTATCAGTCAAGTCGGTTAGTTACTCAAATAAAATAATAAAAGACTAATAGAAATGAAACAAGTCACATTGCAATTTTGTATTTCTGTAAAACTGGATGTAAATTATTTAACGGTATCATTTATATCCATACAGTATTCATACGATCAACAAATTACTTTAGTATTCAATTATCGACTACTTTATGCATAAATTTCTTTTTTGTTCTATGTACTTATGTTTCTGTCTTTTACTGTTCTAAAAATTCATATTATTTGATAATGCAGCTGTGTTTTATTTTTCATACAGTCCCTATTTTGCTAAAAAGTAAATGTCATTGTAAATTGAATGTCACCATTATAATTAATGATAATAAATAACTATTATAACTACCATTGCATAATGCAAAAGATAAAAGAATAAAAATGAAATTTGTGGTATATTTTCATAGTTGAATCACTGGATGGCCATTTTGTCCCAGTGTGGGGTTCCTCAGCAGTGCGCATCCACGATCCCGACTCGCGAGATTCGAGCACAGGATCTATTGGTCTTGCACGCAAGCACTTAATCTCTAGACCACTGGGCTGGCATCCAACGATGTTAACGTCTAACTTCAACCGATCCACAAAATTGAGCAACCATCCACCATTGTCTTCAGTAAGCAACTAGCTCACAACAAACCTGGTTGATCGTGGATACGCACTACTGAGATGTTCTACACTTGAATGAAATGGCCGTCTGGTGCTTCTAGGTTTTCCATAATGGTCTAGCTTCAATTGACTCATAATTTCAACTATAAAATTATTAAAATCTCCACAACCCCCCCTTCTGATATACTTTTATATTTTATTTTATTATTAATAGAGAAACAAAACAGTTACAAAATGATACAAATCAAAAACTTAATGAACAAATTCATTTATCATTAATTTTAAATTCATCTAAACAATTAAAACAACAACTACAACCATCACAACAACAACAACAACAATTCTATTCAATTAATAAATCTCAATTAATCAATCCGAATTTATTAAAATCCTCAACAAATCAATTATATAATCTAAAACAAATTCATTCAAATAATTCAGCACAAAAATTTCGACAAATGATAATTAAATTACGTCAAGAAAATGAAAATTATTAAAATTAAATATAAAAAAAATAAAAATTTTTTATCATTATTATCAATAATTAATTATTATTTAATTATATAATAAATCAAAAATAAATAAAAAAAATTTTTTGATTTATTAAAAAAAAATACATTTGTAAATAATATTTTTTAAAATTAAATATAGGAAATATTCGATTGTATACGTCTTGATTTACCATTGTTATTTGGGGATATTCTGTTAAAAGTTATCTACTAACATTAAATTGTTCTGAATTGTTCTTGGTTTGGATAATATTGAATCTACTCCAAGGGTTTGATTGATATTTTCCTGTTCATGATTTAATGTACTGAAGTTTTCCAAAAGAGAATTCTTAGTAGAATTAAAAAGTCAAAGACAGAAAAGACAAATTCAACTTAGTATTGTTTGTTTGGATCTTCCCATCGATGTGTTAGGACTGCAACTGGTCAGTCTCTAATTGGCATATGTGCATACTGTGCGTATTGCCTCGATATACCTTAATTCACAAACATGGTAAGCAGAGATGGATAGTGGCTAGCAGTGGAATCCAGGACGCGCGTTTCGTCCTATTTGGGACTCGTCAGCTGAATGTACCTGCATCTCAGAGTTGATGTTCACTCTGGGACTCGAACCCAGTACGCTCGCTTCAAACGCCATCGCGTTATCCACTCGGCCACTGAGTCCTGATAGCCACTTGCTTGTGCGATGGGGTGAAGTTTAAATTCAACTTAGTATTGTTTGTTTGAATCTTCCCATCGATTTGTTAGGACTGCAACTGGTCAGTCTCTAATTGGCATATGTGCATACTGTGCGTATTGCCTCGATATACCTTAATTCACAGAAAAGACAAAGCTTTAAATTTTTAAATAAATGTCAGTTTCTATTTAACAGTATAGTAAGTTAAAGAAAAACCATAATAAATAGTCATTCAGAGTAAATATCTCAGTCTTACAGAAAATCAGTCGGTGACCGAATAAGTCGACGGTGAAGTCTTAGACAGTTAGGGTGAACTAAGTGGATTTCAACCCCTCAAGGTTTCAGGTATGTCCTGATGAATGTTGTCTATTAACATGAAATCCACATATAGGGTTTCCTACAAAACAACCACATACAATCACCCAACATTACTCATGTTATGTTTGTATTAAAATGTAGTTGGTAAAACCGATTGAATTCAATTACATAACCATTGAAAACTAAACAGAGATGGATGGTCATCATCAGCTGAAACTTAACAGTGAACATCCATATGTAGAACAGTAATCAAATGTAGGATGATGAGGTCTGGAAGTTAGTGTGTTATCATTAGAGCATTGAGTCGTTACACAATAAATTCAATATCTCTCAGACACCAATAAAAAACCCATAAATAGACGAATATTTATTCTCAACTATTTCATATGTTGAATAATATCAGAAAGGTTTTGTGGATATTATAGTAATTTCAATAGTTGAGATCATGAGTCGATTGAAGTTTAAAATGAAATCATTTTAGTATTTCGTCCATAAGATTGTATCGTGGATGAGCACTGCTAAGGAGTCCAACAATAGGACGAAACGGTCCTTTAGTGCTTCCAGGCTTTCCATGGTGGTCTAGCTTCAACAGACTCATTATCTTAACTATGGAAATATTTCATATGTCTCGAAGAAATCATTCGAAATCATTTATTAGTGCTAAGTATGTCCATCTGACGACATTAACTGATCATGAAGGATGTATTTGTGGTACATGCTGAACTAATATTTCAATTATTTAAAAGTTAATTTATTGAAATTTTGATTCTAATTAACAATTGGCCTTTGTAGCTTCAATATCTTTCATTTGATTATTTGATCTTTAAACCGGAAGTATAATTAAAGGCAAGTTTATCCTGAAGATTTTTAGCTTCGAAAATTGTAAAGATTCAAAAAAAACTTTTAGAATTATTTTCTAACCTCAATACAGTTGATCAAGAATACATTAAACGTAGAAATGTCTGTTGAAAATTGTATATACATTATCTCCTATCACATGTACTACTGTTAAATTATTCAGTAACACGAATATAGATCAATAATGTTTAAGGATTTGCCTTTAATTATCAGTAACGAATGTAATGTTCACTGTTCTCTAGAGTTGACAAAATACTGTAAACCATTGTGTCGTGCAGCCACAAAATTATTACCATATGGGATATGCTTGACTCTAAGGTTTCTTATAAATTACAAGTGATGTAAAACTTGAAGTTCAGGTCACTTTTGATTTGTAAAGACTATGGGGTACCTAGGATAAAGTCTCATAATATATATATATATATATATATATATATATATATATATGTTTGAAGTGGGTTGAGTTGCAATGAAACTCCTTCCTTATCTTATTCTATGCTTTTCAACTTCGACTATTTTTCACCACCCTAATGCTAAACTCAGAAGGTGGATAACTGTAGTAAACGAACATTGTTGTGAAAAAATCTTAAACAATACGTACCCAATAAATATACAAAGTTGTTATTCCTTGTTGGTGAAACGGAGGAAATACTTTCACTAAAAATGCTGACAGAAGCTTTTCAAAACAGCACATTCATTAAGAATTTTGTTCAAGTCAAGTGAAAAATAGGACTTTAGTTACAAATTGAATTCCATTCTGAATAAATTTAGTTGTCAAGGTAAAGTTGCTTCCTTTTTACAGCATTTTTAACCTTCCTAATTGTGGAGCATTGAAAATATGAATTTTAATAATTAAGTTTTTAATCTTAACTAACATTGGTGTAGTTGATCTATTTGAATTACGTTTTATAGTAACAATGATTGATGTGCTTCTAAACTATATAAATAATCATCATTCTTGAAAAATATTTCAATGTTTAAGGGAATCTTTTTTATTTATTCACATCAGATTGTAGACCATCAACGTTGATGATCTATGTCGAAACATTGGAGGCCTACTTGAGTTAAACGGGAACGGTGTAATGAACAAGCTAACTTCGAAGTCACACCTCGCGATCAGCACCTTATGTGGATTGCCCCATCGACGTATCAAGGGACCATGGATGCTCTGAAGACTGTACAACATTATGGACGTTATTACAGGAATATATTAGTTAAAGTAGATACAATCGAAAGTAGAACCACTGCCGCATGGGCCAGTCCATGGCGTATGATTAATTGATGTGCGTTGATTGTCCTTGACCTTGACGGGTATCGACGATCTGTTCGATATTTAGTGACCCAACTGCCGGGTGATTTGACTAGTGTTCAGTGACATTTCACTGGCCCTACAAGGTATTATCTTGTTCACTTGCTTACTTTATCAGTAAATTATAAGGGGAAAAACTTTGATATAATGAAAACAGGATATTATCAATATACCTTATAATATTGATTGACAATGGAATACTAAAATGAACTGACTACCTAGTGATTCCTCATGAAAGATGAATTCACTAGTTTACAACTTCTTTTAAAAAATGAAACAGATTTTCAACTATTAACACAAATCAGAAGGGGTTTTGTGGAGATTTATTATTTTCATAGTTGAAAACATGAGTCAATTGAAGCTAAGCCATTAAGGAAAACCTGGAAGCACTGGACTGCTGAGGAGTCCCACAACAGGACGGAACGGTTGTCAAGTGCTTCCAGGTTTTTCTTGGTAGTCTAGCTTCAATTGACTTATGCTTTTAACTAATAATACAAAATCATTTTTTTAAAGAATTAATGAGATTCTGATATAAATTGAATTTTTAATAAGCTTTTGAATGATCTATATATTCTATGGATAATAAACGAATCAAAGACTATTGTAAGAAGATAAGAATTGATTTGAACTTCTTTATCAAGTAATTCTTGAATAATGTTTCAAATAAAGATACTCATTAGTTTCTTTATGAACAAGTAGACAGTTTTATATATCTATTAAGACTTACAATAAAATCTGAATTGTTTCATTTACAAATGATAAATTATTAAAAAAATATAATGTTAATTACTGTAGACTATAAATGATAAGTTCTACTGCTGACCTTTGATTATTACTTATCAAATAGGATCTACCTCTTATGATAAAATATAATTTATCCACTATCCATCTTTGCTTACCATGCTTGTGAATTTAGACTATATCGAGGCAATACGCACAGCATGCACATATGCCAATTAGAGACGTACCAGTTGCAGTCCTAACATATCAGTGGGAAGATTCAAACAAACAATACTAAGTGAATATAATTTATCATAATTTATCTACAGTTGTAATATGATATGAGATCAACTTGTTTATTATCATTGAAAGATTTTATATTATTTCTTGTCATTTAATTCATGACAAATGACTTTCAATACTGTTATAAGTTCAATTAATTTTTCTTTTCTACAACAGTTAATACCATGACAACTAGTCATTTTTGGTATTAAAAAAAAAGAAAAAAAAGGGGAAAATTTTCATTAGTTGACACTTCACTCTGAAAAAAGAAATAGATGAACATGTTATAATTTTGTTTTCTAGCTAATTAGGTAAATTTAATAAAATTATGGTAATACATATAAATTACTTATAGAAATATATTACATGATCTCCTTAGTTCCTTGTTTTAATTATACAGACATATATAGATATATATTCACCGAGGTACTTTAAGATACCATATGGTGTATTACTTTGTCAACGATCATATAAAGAAGGAAATATTGGGGGAAAAAAGGATAAGAATAATGACAGCCATTGAATTTCACCATCTTTTCAACAAGTATTGTAGATGTGACAATAATTCTATCCCTTTTGATATTTCATTATTTAAGAAGAATATTTCCACACAAAAAAAACATGCTGTTATCTTACTGAGTGGAGTTAACGCCTATGTATATACCTAGAAAATTTTCACGTGCCTGTCTCGTTTTTATCTACTCCTCTTCTATCTTCTATTCATAATTGTTCTTGTCAATGAGTGTTTCACGTTTTTAAAAAAAGCATTTATTAACTGATAATGAAGATTATCTCATGTTTAGTCTAAGGGTTGACATTATGATCCAT